TCCCCCACATAGACCATACTTGTACCCATGCTAGTTTCATGGCTCTAATGATGGCAATGTTGGTTGCTTGGTTGGGTTGCTACTTTGATTCAGACTAAAATATTTCAACAACTATTGGATGGATTGCTATTACATTTTGTACGGCTATTCATGATTCTTAGAAGATGAATCCTATACTGACTTTGGTAAATCACTGACTGGTCCCCATGTGCCAACATGAGGTTGATATTTTTTTAATGACATGTCTCCATAACTATTGGATAGATTGTCAAGAAATTTGGTAAAGATATTCTTGGTCCCCAGATGATGAATCCTTATAATTTAGGTAATCCCCTGACTTTTCCCGTAGCATCACCAGCAGGTCAAATTTGTCATATATAATTTCAACAACACAACGTCTAACAAATGGATTGGCACCAAATACTTTACAGACATTCACGGTTCCCCGAAAATTACGCAAAATTACTTTGGTGTTCCTCTGATTTTTCCTCTACTACTACAGAATAAATTGATTTCAATCAGGGGAGACACGTTAGATGAAGAAAAGACAATTGTTTATTTTTAACTGATGATATGTGATGATAAAGTCTTGCGAGTCTTTGGCGCTTGGACTCTACAGGGAGATTTGTAATCTAGGGGCGTCTGCACTGAGCAGCAACAAGATAAATCCCCTCGTGGAGTCCAGGCACTGGTGGTGGTGGCTGATGAGGCTGATAGAATGATGAGCTGATGAAGCTGATGAAGCTGATGAAGCTGATGAATCTGCAAAGACTTGGCGGAGATGGGGAGGTGGAGAGGTGCGTAACAGCATCATGAACATACTGAAGGTAGAGAGATCATATTATATATATATATATATATATATATATACCTACAAAACTATACATCTGCAAAACATCAACATGTTAGCTAGGTATGGTGTTGCAGTGCTGCTAGCATAGCTAAATGTTATTCTTTTAATATGAAGACGTGACCTAAACTGAAGGTCATAGGTTAGCTCGCTTATCCAATCTTATCAAACTGAAGCTATTGGGTCTGCAACATGCTCTTATGCAGGGCGTCCTTTTGAGTAGAAAGGTTGTCATTTGAACCAAACACTTTAGCATGTAATTTAACTGAAAAACACACCTTTTAACCAGAAAAGGTGCTTGTTTCAGAAGAAGTCAAATCGGCACTCTTTGGCCTTCGTGTCACATGGTTAAAAACAACTATAGTGAAGTCATTTTCAAAGAGAGGTATCCACTTAGCTTTGATTCCATGTTGCTTAGTGTATAAATGAGGGCAGTATTCATGGGCCCTTATTACTATTTGATATCACCTCTTATGGTGCAAAAGATAGCCCACCTACACGCTACAATTTGCAATACATTTAGGGTTATTGACCAAGGTCCATAGGCACCCTATAATTTAAGGAACCAAGCAAAGACTTTTACTGTGCATCACAACAGGGTTCCTAATATCCTTTGGATTGAAGGTGATTTTGTTTATGCTGCAAACCTGTGAAACCATTAGAGGGTAAAAAGGTAAGCATTTCCTCAATGCAGATGGAGTTATCTGAACTCATGGCTCTAGTATTTAGTCCTTTCTCTCTCCTTCTTCTCCCCTCCCTCCTTCCTTACTCTATGGCCCCTTCTTTCTCAATTGTGTCCCTCGCCTCTAGCAAATGGGAGTCATTTGTTTGTGTGAACTTCCCATAACCCGTAGCGCGTGAGACACTTATCATTCAGAATGGGGCTGCTTCGTCCAGAGTTGAAATACCTCTTCCCTTCTTCCCTTCCTCTCCTTCATTTCTTTCCTTTCACACCAGTACCATGTATGTTCCAGCTGACTCTCTCCATGGTTCATCATCTTTCTCCATTCTTTCACCCCCTCTCATACTCCCTGCTTACCCATTCCCCCCTCAACAGTACGCCCCCTTCAGCCTCTCTCTCTCTCCCCCCTCTCTCTCTCTCTCTCTCTCTCTCTCTCTCTCTCTCTCTCTCTCTCCAATCTCATTCCCAATGTAATCTCGGGGTACACAGGACCATTTTCATTACGGCACTACTCATCTTATCATCCACCCTGTCATCTCCTCTGTCTGCTGTCTTTTTTATATTCCTTTATTCTAACAAGTCTGCATCTCAGAAGCCATCAGTGGTCCACCCCTCTTCATTCCCCTAATGTACCCCTCACACACACACACACACGCACACACACACACAAACACACACCCTTGCCTGGTCCTAACCCCTAGTTTCATTGCCTTAACCCGGTTCCCATCATCATGATGTAGCACACCCCAGCTCCCTGGAATCATGTAAATCACTGTGTGTGTAGTCAACAGTACAGTATGCTTTTCTTTAACATTTTATCTGTGCGTGTATTATCTCTGCAGGCAAAATGAGCAGGAACACGACAAAACAGATGACCTAAACATGGAATGTGACAATTAAAGAGGAAGAAAGACTAAGATGGTTACACACACAGGGGTGAGACAGAAAGTTTCAAACAGAGAGAGGAAGAGAGTGATTTTAAGGAGGAGAGCTGTTATTGAAGGCCGAGGTGAGCCTTAACCCTCTTGCTTGCTTTAATCCCTCATTTATGTGAACTCAGCTTTGGAAATGAAGCTGTCACTGTATTTTTCTTCCCTTCACCCATGCTGTGGTATAATCAGAAACCTAGCATGCAACACACACACACACACACACACACACACACACACAGTTGCAGGACGGAGACACAGAAAATCACTCAGGAGAGGTCTTAAATTAATTCCAGAGTTGGAGGCAGAGATTCAAACAGCCTCACCTTGTCTCCTAGAGGAGGAATCATCGGATATGTTCGAGACAGAGGGGAATTATGGGTAAATGCACTGGTGAGGAATGATAGCCTGCAATCTCCGGCTCTAATCTGGGATCGCTGACACATGCCATTCATTTCAGACTTGCCAGTATTCCCATGGATGGCGTAGAGTTGAGCTTGCGTGTGTGACTTTGCAATCTTTTTTTGCCTATTTTAGAGACAAAGATCTATTCCTACAGTTTGCAAACAGCAATGTAAAACTAAATTACAAAATGCTGAAACACACTCATTAAAATCATCTTTGTTAAGAAAACTCAAGGCAAAAAATTGATTGCAGACATACAGTATATTACTATAGAAATACATTCTATTGTTAGAATGTAAAGTTCATGGCATTAAAATATGATAAAATATGTTTTTTGATTACATGAATTTTTTTCCATTTGTTATCATTTTGACATAGTATGACAGAGGAAGGGCAAAGTACATTGATGACAGCCATTAAAGGGCAAATTGTCTATTGTGAAACCACAGACTTGTACTGCCATCTAGTGGTTATGGGAGAAAAGGGATGGATGGATGGATGGATCATTTATTTGATGCTTGCGTAGATGACCAGAGAAGAGGAAATAGCTTTATTCAATACGGGTCAATTTGTCTTTAACTCTCTCTACAATGGTAAAATAAATATATTCAAAAATGAAGTTAACCACTAATAACCGGTAATACATTTCATGATCAATGTATTTTCATTTAGTAGAAGAGAGAGTAAATTCTTGTTTAGAAGTGTCTTTTAACTAATTAATGCTCAGATTTTTTTGTAGTATTCATTTAATTTGAATATTTTGTACTAATTCAAAAATTCAAAACAAATGTGTGAGAAAAGTACACATAATCACCCCGTAGCCCATAGCAGCATTTTGAAAAGCACAGCCTTGATTAACTTGTCAAACTTAGATGCAACTATGTAATAAAATAAATATTTCATATTTCTGTCCATCTTTTGCTCCTCCATCCTCTATCTGTTCCCCCCTCTCGCTGCCCTCCTCAGGTGGAGCGAGCGTCAGGCTGGTGTGTAATAGCGTGCTGTCAGTGTGGGCAGCGGCGAGGTGTGAGGAGGAGAGCGGTGTGTCTCAGATGAGATATGTGACTGGCATGCTAACACACAGTTTTATCTGAGGAAAAAGAAAGAGACCGGGCCCCCACATCTCCTCACTATGGCCCTTTGATTAAAGCTCCCTGGGTACACACAGATGCACACACTTCCAAAAACACACATACAGTGTACACACATGCACCCGCACAGATTATAAATAAATTGCAGGTAGGAGCATACACACATACAGTATATATGCATGCACACATCCTCCCATTGTGGGTGGTGTTGTTTTGACCTAAGCCAGGTAGCTTGTCCATTATGAAGTTGATAGGAGGATTTGGTCATGTTGATTCTAGACAGCATCATCTCCTGTACCATAAATAACCTGAGTGTTCTCTCTGAGTCACACAACAATATACAGAGAATAAGAGCTCTCAGCTTTATCCCCTGGTCTCATCCACCACACAGAAACGCTCACACATACACAACACAAAACCCCAAGAAAATGATGACAAAATAACAGATTTAAAAGTACAGTTGGCCCCGGCTCAGTTTCAGCTTAAATTGTCCCTTTACAATCTAGTTTGGCTTTAGGGTTTGTCTCAAAGTGTGTTTTCTCAGATGGACGGTGGGGGAAACTAGTTTGATTTTAGATGAGCAGCATCTTCCGGCAATGCAGTCTCAATGGTGTGCCAATAAAGCTTTGGATACAGCCTGTATACCCCTAACCAATGGAACTGTGGGGGAGCATGATGACTTCCATGACGAAAGTAATGGACAAACACACTCAGTATTCTTGCATCTGGAGAAACCATATTGAAATACACCCTGTCAATTTATCATCATCTGTCTGTCTCTATTGTTTTCCTTTCAGGATCAAATGTGAAAAAAATGTCAATTTCCATTTATTGCTAATAATATCCATTGAAATGTTTTGCTGTGGCTGTAGTAACGGAATTTCTTATTTTTTATCTCCCACTTTAAATTTGGTACCCCGTTAAATTTCCTCTTTGGACCGCAAGAGGGTGCTAATGTGTCATGCAATACTGTGACTTTTGTGAGTCTCTCACTGTATGCATGTCATGCATTTCTAAAAAAAATACACATTCAATCAATTCATTTCAAATGAATACTCAAAATTGCATTTTAATAAATATACTACATAAACTAAGAAATGTACACAAACCAAAATAGAAATACACAGCTGATTCCAAAAAATTTAATATAGAAAGACACTTTGATGATGTGAATATTTCCTATCATCCATTTGGCTATATACAGTAAGTTGTTCAAATATTACAATTTATCCACATTTCTTTTTGCATTTGACGACAGGTCTTTATGTAAAATAAATGTTATTGTTATTATTGCCATGTTAATCTTCACCACAAACTATAGTACCCCATTATATTATGTTTCAGCTGCTGCATACATGTAAATTCGGAATATATTGAATTTTTTTCACAACCTTTTAAAATAGTTTCTTCCTCTGCATACCCCACAGTGTGTTTAGGTATAACATCTAAGTCTTAACAATCAGCAACAATATCTCTGAAGTTCTTTAGAACACGATAACTGATCTAAGACCAGTTTACAGGTGTAATAGGCCCCACTGATGCATCATTTATGAACAAAACAGAGCATTTCATTTATATTTGATGGCCAGCTGTAATTTGTTGACGATAAGCCACGATTTTCTCTTTGCATTTCTGTTGCCTTTGCAATTGATGATTAGATAGTATTTCATGCATTTACACGTTATCAGGATTATCACAGTAAAGAAGCATAAGGACAGAGGGCATTTTCTGCACTTCTATGTCAAATCAAGCAAGACATCAGTCAATAAAAGCTACACTTCAAATAATGCAGAGTTTAAGATGGCATTATCTTTTCATCGGACTATCTACTTTACTATCTACTTTACCTTTTGCACTGCCATCATTTCTATGAGCATGTGCCTTACTGACATAACGATGCTGTAAAATCTAGATACTGCATTGAAAAACAGTATATTGGTTCTAGGTGACCACAAACATCATGTTTTGTTAAACTCTGGTTTGGTGTTTCATTAGTTCACTGAATTTGAAGGTGACAAGTTGACGTTTAAAAGTGCCGCACACAGCAGCGTTAATTACATCTTAGTTATTGTTGCAACGCCACCAGGAGTCACATGGAGAAGGAGCAGGGTAAAGTCTAACCACAGACCCTGAGCGGGGACTGCTTTCATAATCTTATGACTGGGATGATGGATAGGGGACAAGGGAACTAGGCCCATGTCTGCTTCTTTGACAGAGTGCAGGGAGAAGTCAGAGATCTGTCTATGTGGAAGGCGAGGGGCTGGCTGGAGGACAAAGAGGATGGGAAAAGTGTTTGTACTTCTCTGGGGCAGGACCCTGAGGGGGTGATGGGATGGGAGTGTCTGGAGAGGCTGCAGAGAGAGAGAGAGGCAGGGACAGAGAGACATTGTTTATTTTTTGCAAATTGACATTGTTTTTGTGTGAATAAAAGCCATGTTGTATATATCAAGTCTGTAAAATGTATCCACTGTTGCCTTTGGGAAATGTTACATCCACAGCTGCTACTTCATAGATACAGTTCCCATCAATCTCATGTGGCCGTTAGCTTGTGTAATATTGCCAAATGTTTGAATGAAATCATACAATAGGGCCAAGACTCATCAATTCTTGTAATTGTTACATTTTTATGGAATTTTTTTCACATTTGCAATGCCTATTTATTCGTTTCAACTAAGTTAATGCAAACACATCTGGCACACACTTTATGAAATTTCATGTGAAGAGATAAACATATCAGTGTTGCTTTGATATTTCTTGTGTGTGTCAGAAGGTTTGCGCTTGTCTGGGTGAATGCAGTTTGTGTGACCGCGCTGCATGTCTCAGGGTTGTCGAGCATCTGGCACTTACCTGTCTGTGTAGTGTGAGCGGCAGGCAGGGTGCTGATGACCAGTGTGTGTCCAGTCAAAGGGTCCTGGGCCAGCTGGGTGTGTGCTGGGTGGTGCAGGTGTGTGGGCTCTGACGCAAGGCCTGAACACATAACACAACAACCCAATAATCAACCATCAACAGACTAAAAAGAACAATAGGTAGCTTGGATAAATCTCTGTTGGATAAATTATGTTATGGAGAATTTATTCAATTGAGTGAGTTGAGTTTATTTCTTTTCCTTTAAAAGTGTTTTGCCATGTGTGCATGTTTTATGTAGCAATCAAGTCAGTCCTAAATAACTTCATTTTTAAATTGTTTCGTTTGGTTAGCTTTTTTTTCGTTTCAAACTGTATAGATTTCACATTACTAAATATAACAATCTCAACAATGTATTTTAACAGCATTGTGAGTATGTAAGTACCACATTCCTACTGGATGCTGAAAAATAAAAACACACACAGCGCTTTCTTTGCACAGTCTTCTAAGTTAGGTTGTCATATTCTGGAGTTGTTTTTAGCATGTATGGAGAAAAAAAGACATCTTTGGAGATGACTTAGTACTTTATTCCACGCCTCATCTTGTGCTTGAGTTGTCTGTCATGGCCCTGTTTAGAATATGTTTGATGCATTCTACCTTTAACTGCAGACTTCCTTATACATACACATTGTGTTAGCAGATGTCACCGAGAGGCACCTCATATAGCAAGTTGTCTGTTTTGGCTTTGCCTAAGATACAGTATATGTGGATTATAAAAAGTATGCAAACTCTCTGCAAAATCCCTAACTTTTTACTCATTGTATATATCTGGGAAAACTTTGTATAGTTTGTATACTTTAGTTTTTTACATTGTTTCATGTTTGTCCAGTTCCACACATTTATCACTGAATGCTCCACTGGAGCGTTTGGTGGTCTTGCTGAAGGTCACCCTATTTTTCTTTCTGAAGGTTTACAAGCACAGACATGGGCCCAGTCTCACCTCCCAGCAGCATCTCATGCAGCAGGTTGTCTATCTTGGCCAGCCCACAGAGCTTAATGAACTGAAGCTGTTCGATCATCTGCCAGGTGATGCTCTGCAGGGTGGGCAGCAGGAGTAACAGCTCTCCAAAGCGACCCCTGGAGTCATACTGACGGTCATTAATGTAGTCTTCCAGACTCATCTGGACCTGTACACACACAAGGCCAAGTCTCCATCAGCGTAAGCAACCTCCCCTTGTCCTTGTAAGTTGTTAGATATATTATTCAAGAATATATATGTATAATTATAAGTATAATCCACTGTGATAATAAGCTCTACAATGAACTACAAGAGTGAAATGCTCGACGAACCTGCAGACGAATGGTCTTAATCTTCAATGGATCCCGCAAAGACTTTGCATCTTCATATTGGGAAGGGGGGAGGGGGGGTTTGGAGGACAGAAGGGGGAGGACAAAACAGAAAGATCAGGAATGCAATTGAGGATATGAGTGGAATTGATATAATGATTATGGTCAAACTGGGGAATAAAGGTAAAATGAGGGGATTTAGTGAAGGGGAGACAAAGGGAGACAGGTTACACAAGGTGGGGGCAGGGGTTGTGGTCACACTAAGCCAAGAAGAGGGATTGGGATCTAACTTTGAGGGGAAATGTAACCAGATGGAGGGATTGATTGGTAGAAAAAGAGGGACTGGTAAGAAATGGCATTGGATATTGAGCAATCTATCATTGAAAATATTTACTTTGCTTTTTTCAATCTTTTACTATTTAAACTATTGTTTTTTCACCTTTTCATTTCTTGTCCCTTGATTTTCTGGCTTTCATGTTTTATTTTCTATTTTTGTTCTATCTTTTTTTCCATGTTGCCCTCTTCCAAATGATAATTGTAATATTTCTGTAACAGACAGACAAACATTTACACTACACATACAGGCTGTTCCTGAATTGAGAAGCAAGGGTGAGCTGGGAAAACAGAGTAACCACTCATCCCAAGGGAGAGTAACTGGTTCCTATGTTATTAATGTACCTCACATATCTTCTGATGGCTTAAAGTACCAAATGTTCCTTTTTTTAATTACCCGGGTCAAAGAAGACAATAGCCTTGAGCGCTGCATACTCGTTGTCGTCTATTTGAATATCCTGGAAGGGCTGTACCAGCTCATCCAGCACTCGGTTGGCTACCTTGTACATCTCTTGTTCAGGACTGTTCCTGTGGATCACACAGCCATTACCTGCAGACACAGTGAGCACAGGTCAGTGCCAGTGTTGAGTTATGTGGGTGTGTATGGGGTAGATTGCTGGTGTGTGCTTGTGTGGAAGGTTGAGGGAAATAAGTTTCGCTGTGAGAGAAAGAAAAGTCAAATCTGACTTTCGTCAAGCCGTTTTAAGGGTTTCAGTCAAGGTTAAGCTAAGGGTCTTAAGACACAGCAATGCACAATGTGTGTGTGTGAGTGCTTGAGTGTAGTTGACAGACCTGCCTACAGTGTGATGTTGGTACACGTTTAGGTAATGAGTAATGCCGTTTACAAATACACGTTTGAAGTCACAAAGAAATATAAAACTTTAGTTAATCATTCTCAGCAAACACAACATTTGATCTGTGACACTTTACAATACAGTACCCAAAAATGTTTGGAGTTAGTCAGACAGGAGTGAGGAACGACCTGATAATTGATGAATTGTTAATAAATAGTTTCTGAATAACTCTGATTGTATAATAGATAATAATGGGTTAGAAACCAGATTGGGAAATACTTCATGAATGAATCATTAGGTTGATTAGTTCAATAATATTTCTTCATGAGTTGTTCCTCATCAGCCACTGGGCAACATGAATTACTTGATCATTACTCACCCTTTGTGTGCCCCCCTGAAGTAAAGTGGCACATCATACTGAGTAGTTGCTAAGTAGTCCCTCGTTACTTTATGACTGTCTTACCGTTAGGACTGTAACAGTGGCTGTTCATTATGATCTACTATACATATACATATAGACCTCCAGAACTACTCATTAACAATGCATTCATGATCAGGTCATTCCTGATTCGTTCCTTGCTTGTTCCTTAGTAACTACTCCCATTTCAGTGACCTTTATTGTAAAAGGTTACCCATTTGATGAGTCGTCACATTGCTGAGCCACCTGATTGCACCACGTTTAAATAAGATGCCATTCTTCTGGTGTGTTCGTACCTAAAAGCAGGAAGTCCTTGAATGGCATTGACCTTTTGGCGACACCAAGCAAAAGGTGCTCACCTGCATGAGCCCTGAGCAAACTCACCTGGAAACAAACACACAAAAACAATGTAACAATGCCTCCCCTTTTGCCCTCACATACATCACAGAGGGAACGCACTTTTGCTGCAGTATATTTAGTAGTCAGATCTAGAACACTCAACTTAATTGTTATTGCTTTTAATGTTCTTTTATCTAACAGTGCATGTAGTTGATTAAAGATAACCTTTCTTTCATCCCAACTGAAAGTGCCTCAAGAGAATAAGCCATTTGTTAGAGCAGTAAGCACACTCACACAAGCTAAATATGACCAATATAAAAAAAACAGCACTTCAGAATGTTAAATGAAAGCACTGAAGTCTGAGAGGTCTTGGTTGATATTTAGGGCATGGAATTAAAACAAGGTTGACTTATTCCTGTGAGCAATAGCATAATCAAGTTGATCCATCGTGCATCAAAGCCCTGTTACCTGGTCATCCAGTGGCAGTTCTCCAAATGCAGGAATGTACTTGGCCCATTCCACCAACACCAATAACTGTTGTCTCATAGAATCGCATGCATCTCCGACAGTGGCTGACTTCTGCTCCGATATGTCTGCTATTCCAAGTGGAGCAGTGATCTGGAGGGAGATGGAAAACAATGGCTTCCTGGGTCACAATCCCTTGATTTCCCTGTGCACATAATTTAATCATGCACATACTGTGCTGCCTGATAAAAATATCATAAAAATAAATTGTCACCTGTTGGGACAGTGATTCAGCTTGGGCCAAAATAGTAATGGGTGGCATGTCTTGGGTGTCGGGGATACTTCTTCGGGAGCTGATCCGATCCCGCTCGTTCTGTACAGCTGAAATGTAGCAGAGAGCTAAAGTTACTGTGTGTGTGAAACAGAAAAGGAACAGGGAAGAAACGGCACCTCCTGTACTTCCCTTATTGTAAAAAAAACAAAAAAAACAAATAACTTTCAAACTGGAATATGTCTCTATCTCGGTTTAGTGTTTGCAAGATTTAGCTTAAATTGGTATCACTCAGTTTAAGAATTAACGATGACATCAGCCCTTACGGGGCAGGAAAATAGTCACACAGGCTGGCATCAGCCATAGGAGTCAAACGTTAACCAGTTGCTATCCAGAACAACATGTTTGAATAACACATGATTAGGTGTCATAAAACTCCTTGCCAAGGTTATACCCCTCATAAATACACACACACACACACACTAAGTAATCACTTATTTTATGGCCGAGCCAATTTCCGCCATCTTGAAGCAGCTCTGAGATTCTCTGAAGAAAGCCCCTCCTTTAGTTTCACTAGTTTTAAGTCTACACTTTGTCTCAGTGGAAAAAAAACAACAACAAATGTAACTAAACTAAACGAAAATAAACTACATCTAAAATATATTCTTATACCACAGACAATACACCATGGAAATAAGGTGTGTGTTTGTACAAAAACGAACAAGGTATAATTTAGACTTTGTGTTCTGTGTCTCTTTGTGTAAACTTTTAGTTAGGAGTCTACTTGTCCAGAGAGGGAGGTTTCCCTACCTTCTTTCTTCATGCCAGCCCTGAAGCATTTGTTGAGTCTGCAGAAACGACATTGGTTTCTCTTATCTTTATCCACAATGCATTGTCTGCTGAACCTGCATACAACAAGCGGACATAATGTAAGCAGCTTTACAGTGCAAGACATGACAAACTGTACTGTAAGTCAATGCGACATGCCATGACATGATGACTGGGCTGAAAAGTAAGTTATCAACGGTTTAAAAGTCATTGTTAGATCTGCACTTGATCACAAGGGTGCAAATGTACAATACCGTGTTTATTATAAGTATGTAAGTGTGGCATGATTTTAAGTGCGCTGTGTTTTTTAAGTTTTGTCTCACAAAGTTGTTGCTCTCTGTACCTGCAGGTGTAGACATGGCTCTTGCGTATGGAGCGTCTGAAGAAGCCTTTACAGCCATCACAGCTGGAGGCTCCATAGTGTTTTCCTGTGGCTTTGTCTCCACAGATGGCACAGTTACTGCTGACCCCGTCTGGACCGACTGACATGCCCGGCTCTATTGGCATGCTGTCTGAAACACAGGTAAATACACAGACACATGCTCATACATCTGTATATTACACACATTGGCGTAGACAAGTACCCTTACAAACATAATACAAGTATATAGTTCAATATGGTCTAATACTGGGTTCACAGTCTGCACTATTTCATCTAATCGAAGCGACCATGTGTAAAATTTAAAGCACCTTACTACTCTAGTAAATGTATTCGGTGTAGTGTGTAACTCCAGAGGTTATTTGGGGTTCCTATAATTGCATAGACATTTGTTTGGTGTTTGATTTGTACATCAAACTAAACATAAATCAGGAAAAAGAATAAATGGCTGTTCAATCGCCAGGCCTTTTAAACATTACCGTCGATGTCTTTATTTTTACTGTCACCTTCTCATTACCATAAGCATTGTCATAATCATCATGGTCGTTATTATTATCATCAGCAGCAGCAGCAGCATCGTCACCATAATCAAAACCATAATCATCATCGTTGTCTGCATATTTATCGTTCAGTCAAAGCATGCCGAATAGAACACAACACGATCATAGCATGTGACGGTAAAAATTCAAGATGCATCAATACAGACACGATCACATCTCCCCACACACGTCCCTCTCAGTCCCACACCAGGCAGTGTCAAGGCGAGATGAGTCAATGTTCGACTAACTCTATTTTCGCGTGCTGAGATGACTTCAGTGTATCACTGAGATGCGTGCTTGCTCTTCAATAAAACATCTTTATGTCACATGCTGGAATTCCGGCATAAACGCTTTTATTAGCATTCTGATTTCATACTTTTAAAACCTGTACCTAGCCCTTTTCTGTCCCTCACTCCCACAGATTTCCACTCGCACACCCATATGTGAGCAGCATGCAAGTGGAATTAATTCATCACAATCAGTGTATACATGCCGACATTAAAATGTCATGACTACACCCATTTCCCCTTTGTTTAGCTTATGTTAAAACCCTTCCTTTTTGTGTAAATAGAAACAAATTTGCATTCTGCTGGTCTCACTTCACTTTATCATTTTAAGTTCTCAACTTACAAACTAACACAGTAGTTCTAGTTTACCTCTTCACCCAGATCTGAGGTAGATGACACATCCCAAACCCTCAATACAAGAAGCATCGCGTTAAACGAGGCTACAGATTTATCAGATACACAGTGCAAGGCTTATCTCAATACTCTGTCCATGATCAGACATTTTGCAGGCCCCCACTTCATTGTGGCAAATGTGTGAGTGAGCAGCTTATCAGTCTATGTATTCACATTTCAGTGCTTATAAAGCTGGAGTGTGCTATCTTTACATTGTCATTCTGTAAGGAGCATGTCCAACTATGCATGCTAAAAATCAGATGTCTGGTGCTTGAATTAGTGTTTGCATGTGTGGGTGGCTACACACACTTACCTCCTCCTCCACAGAGCACCTCTGCATTCTCAAAGCCCAGTGTGCTGTATGAGGGATCCAGGCCTTCACAATAGTTTGCTACTTCCATATCTAACAGAGATTTACTCTGAGGAGTAGGAGGATACTTCATTCCTGTTTCAACTTGGTCTTCCTCACACTTCTTCTTCCTCTCTTTGCTTCTCTCCTCTTCTCAGTTCACTCTCTAGTCTCTATGTCTCCTTTTCTCTACCTGCTGGTCTCTGCTTCATCTTATTCTTACAGCCATGACTAGGGACATCCCTGACATAAAAGATCTATAATCCCATCTGATTGGGGCAGGAACAAGGAGAGGGGAGGAGCTGTGGCCTAAGACTTCTCACTTTATTGCACATTACTTATCTGTCCTTCTCTCTCTCCCACTTATCACAGGGATGGATAGATAGAGGTGAAGGAGATCTTTTCCTTCTCCCCCTCTGCCTTATTTTATTTCACCATGAGAAAGATTTCATTTGATTTTAGAGGACAGCTTTGCACTTTATGTGCATGTTGGTAAACCTCTGTGTTTGTGTGTTTGCATGCGCGATGGTGTATGTTTATATGTGTGTGTGTGTGTGTGTGTAGGTGTGTGCGTGCGTGTGTGTGTCTGTGTCCTTCCCAGGCATTCTAATCTAATCAATAGTGGAGTAATAGCACCACCACCTCAGCAGATATAATCTATAAAGACACCCAACCCTCATTCATTAAAGTTCATAAAACTTTATGCTAAGTATTTCCAAATTAACTGGTCACGTAACTCAACTACAGTATATGACCTTTTATCTCTAATGACATTAACCTCTCTGACCAAACTCCTGTTGAAACATTACTGGTTTTACTTTTATTTTTAGTTAATGGAATATTTAAATTGCCCACTGGCTCATTTTGAAATAATTTGTGTGAGGGTTTTAGTTTAGATTGGATTTATTGCAAATGTTGCTGTCATTATTTATTACTTCATATCAGTAAATATCAATACTTGTACTGAAGGAGAATGGTGTCTTTGGTCTTTTTCTTTAAGAGCCAATCTGCCTCCTCTTTCAGCCAGGAATGCTGTAAAAACACTGTAATTTACTACCATAAACCAGTTAGAATGTCTCCACCCACCCATTTTACTTTGGGAGTTTCATTGCACTAAATGTTATTGTGTGGCCTAAAGGTAATCTGTTGATAAGAGGCAGTATCATAGGAGATTTGATGCCCTACATCAGTAATGAGTGAGCAAGTCAGCAAAATGCCTCCAGTATATGAGCAAGCCTAGCGGTTATATATTGTCACTGTAGGCTCAGTATATCAGAAAGAGCAATTCGTATCCGGTCACAGAGTAATAACAGACATCTTAGTTAATATGCACTGCTGAAACAAAGGGTTTGAGAGAGAGAGAGAGAGAGAGAGAGAGAGAGAGAGAGAGAGAGAGAGAGAGGGAGAGGGAGAGATTACATTTTAACCAGGCAGTGAGGTCAGGCCTCCTGACTCATTCGGTTTGTGGAGGGGGAAGAAGAATTTTGAAAACTTGACAAATCATACTTTCTTTGCATCAAAGTTCACTGTAGCTAGTCAGCTGTTTAATACAGCTAATGTTACTTGGAACGTTAACTTTGCTCACCACACTAATATACTAAAAACGAATTCAATGCAAATATGCATTCCAGTAGATTCAACAACCCACATCTCGGTAGGATCTTCAGGTTACTGATTTGGAAATGTTACATATAAATGAAGGTAAACACATATTACACATTCATAAATACTTAAAATCATAAAAAACTATTATGACTTCTTCAGCTGAAAACCAAGGAGGACGCCTGAGAAACCTTGCATCTGCCTAGCAACCAAAAGCTCTTTGAAGCCATAAAACCAAGCGCTAAGAGGCTATCTCTGTGTGAACTGGCCATAATACTGTCACTTCTATTTAGACTAGAGCTTTTAATAGTCACAGATGATCATCAGCCACCCAACTGACTCTAGTAAACCACTACTTCCTGATACCGGGGCAATACTAAAAAAGACACTGTACAGAAGTATATTGTTCAGTCTTAAAACTCTGCTGAATGATCAGCTTTTATTTTGACAGAGTAAAGGTAATCTGCTTTTAATTTGTTGCCATGTTGTTCAGTTTTTAAACCACTGCTATGTTACTGGATTTGTGCAAATGAACAGAAACATGTGAATTAAAAAATGAGTCAACACTTCTACAACACTTTACAGTTACATACTATATTTCCTATAAACCCCTGGTCCCTGAAGGCGTTAAATGAGCATCCCACTCATTCATTCTTCCCGCTAATATCTACTTAGTGACAAGTCTGAAGGCTAGTTTGGTCAATAACGTTCACCACCAAAAGTGGATTTTTTTTGTGACAAACAATTTATCCAGCTGAAGTAAAGCCCATGTGTCTTTAGCCTGTAAACTGAGTACACAGGGTGAATGCAATCAGCTGCACTATTGAAGGCAAATCAATACAACTACAGCCTCAAAAATCAATCCACAACTCTGTGACATAGTCTAAACAAATGTCACCATTGCAACTTCACAAAGGTAGGTTTACTGAGATTACATTATATCATTACTGTTGTGGTGTCCGCCCTGTGCATATCCAAGGCTTTGGCTGATGCTTTTGTCAAACAACTAGATGCCAATTGGATTTCAATTTCCAATAACAGTGGATTACCGAAATACATCATTTAAAATATTTTAGAAATATATGTGTTTGATTTTATTAGACACAAAGTTATATTTTTTTGTATTTTCAGTGGAAGTACCATATTGGTAGCGCATCACAAGAGAAAAAAAACAATGTGACTGTATTACCGTCTTGCTTACAGTGGCAACTTTTTGCTCTGTAACACTGCTCTTGTTACAGGTGCTGTCCTTGTACAGGCGAAACAGGTTATCGCATGATCTTTACAGCACAGCATGCGTGACAAAGTGAGTATCTTATATTTTTCGACACAAAATGCTGTCTGCTGACAGAGAGGCGAGAATACTACTCTCATTAAACACACTAGACACAACGCAACAAAGACATTGAGCAGACTTAAACAACCTCAAACTGTGTGTAAACTGCAATTTGTTACAGGACACAAAAAAGCGATTGAAGTGTGTGTGTGTGTGTGTGTGTGTAGGAACAGGGAGTACAACCAATACCATTAAAGTACAAACCACGTGATTTATCAGAACATGTTACCAAACTTCCTTGAGAAACTGCTAAATGTAAGCTTCACTTCCTCCACAAAAGCAACAGCATACTTCATACTATACCACAGGCGATGCGGATATTTTGCATTTTAATGGCAATTTACATAACAGGAGGACTTTGACTTACCTGTGTTTCTGTGTCTGCCGGGGATGTGCATTTATCCGGGTGTACTGTTGTACTCTGGTAGTGTGCAGCCCCTCAGTGCAACATTAATCTAAGTTACACTGAGAATAGGAAAATGGTAAAGCTGTTTGACAACATTAAAAAGGAAGGTTTGTAGAGCTAAGCGGCCAATAATTTATGGAGCGACACATTGGATGGCGCCACCATAGCCCTGTCATTAGATCGATTTACTAAACAAACTCAAAGTAGGGTGGGGATGTTAAACAGTAACCCAAAGCCATAAAAACCAAAAGGAAAGGATCACCAGGGGTGTGTGTTTGTGTGCATGTGTGTATGTCAGCCAGGGCTTCTAACACCACCTCCGAGGGCGGAAGGTAAGAGATCCAAGAGGTTTGAGGTAATGTTTCACACAATAATGAAGAAAAAGTAACAATTTTATTTATTTCACTCCAGCTATGTACACACGGGTTAAGTGTTGGCAAAGAAAGTGTAATGCATTTATTTTTCCTTTCCACTCACATGCCTTTCACATGAATTCACTATTTGCATAGAGAATTAGGGAATTTAAAGACCATTGGTGTAATCTAGCATTACAAATGTCAAACTTGAAGCCTGTGTAGTATATACAATGACCAGCAGATGGCAAGAGAGTGTTCATGTTGAGTCAAAAGCAAAGCACAGTTTCCAGTCATGATAATTCTTTCAATATTTTCACAACATGGTAGCCTACTGGTTAAGATACCACAACCTTTACTGCATGTCATACCTCTCTCCCTCTCCAAGTTATGTTTCTCTCATTGCACTTTCAACTATCAAATAATTGCAAATAATAATAAAATAATTTACAAAACCAAACAGTTTATTAAGTCACATCACAAAAAGCTGCAGTTGACACAGCAGTCGTAGGAAGCAAAGCATGGCACATCTGACAGAGATAAGATGGGAGCTAGCTAGTCTATCTGGTTTTGAAGATCATCGAAACAAAATCAATGGGGATGACAACAAAAGGGCTGTCATTAAGTGAATATTATTTTTGTATATGTTTCATCAATTTTCTTTTTTACTTAATTCCAGTTCATCTGTTTTAATGATTGCTTGTATGTGCTTTTAAATAACTGGTAAACACTGCTTTTATTGAAATGCACATCAGCAATACACAAATATTAATAATTAATATGGCAACAAAGAACATTAAAGTAAAACAAAGTTACACAATAAAGCAATTACAGTATCAGGAAACCCCAAACACACATCCAACCAACAGTTGTCAAATAGCCTTTCCCGGTAAGCACATGTAACAGGTTGTCCTCCCCAAGAAGGTGAGCACGTCCAAACAGTTAAAAGTGGTCAGACTCAGAAACACCTCATTGATAATCTGCAGATCGACGTGTTCTAAGTAATTCAGCCGGAACATGTGGTAGGGAATGAAGCAGACAACCATAATGAGAGCAAAGCAGAGACTCTTCAGCTGAGCCCCAAAGTCCTGCTGAGAGGTGCATCCCTGCCGGTGCTTCCTGTATAAAACCCGTAGGGCATTGGCTTGGAGGGCTGTCAGTACTGTGGCCACCACTATAATGACTGTGCTTATGATGTAGTTAAACACCTTGCCAACAGACCCTATGTGGCTGCCAAACTTGAAGCAGATTGTGGTACTGTTGTCCATCTTCTGATTTTTTGCGTTTTTTCCATAGGCAAAATGCATTATGCAAGGGACCATGACAAGCACCACCACCCACACCAGAGCACTGACAACGAGTGCATGAATCTTCTGGAGGGAGGCCACCCGCTCAACTTTGTGGTAGAACATCATAAGGCGTGTGATGAGGATGATCACATAGAAGATGAAAGACATGTACATGTGGATGTGAATCATGCCACTGACCGTTTTACACCACCCGTGGCCCAGGCTCCAGTGATGAGTTGCGTAATAGTAAATCCTGAAGGGCACAGTGAGAAGGAAGATGAAGTGGGTGAAGATGAGGTTGAGTACAGCAATGGAAGTGATGGATGTCGAGCTGGACTTCATTATGTGCATCATCAAGCAAAGGCTGATGGTCCCGATGACCAGAACCACAGAGTAAATGACCAGGAGGACTGTGTGGTACTCATCAGGATTTTCAGGTAAAGAGCTTGTGGTCATCATCGAGCTTATGGCGGTGGATAGCGTGCTTTGGGTCATCATGGAATCCATCTTAAATAGAGAAAGAAAGGTAAGGAGAGAGAGGGGGGGGGGGGGGGGGGGGGGGGGGGTGGGGGGGGGGGTTGTCAGATTCAGGAGTGAAGGAATACATTAGGAAATGTTTGAAATTTTTTGGAGGGAGTTTTTTCTTATCCAAGTAGCGGATCTAAGGATAGAAGGTATTGTATGCTACTGTTGTTTTGTTTTGTTATACTAGACTGTATAAGTAAAATTGACTTGACTGTTAAAAACAGAAGTAACAGAAAGAAATAAAAGACAGAAAAAGAGAAAAGTCATGAATTTATTTATGACTCTAATTATGATTATTTAACACTTAGTTTGTAATAGCATGCTTTACTAATATTAGCCTTTTTTGCTCATATTTAAACACATAATCCAGAACAAGACATAAACCGTAGTATTCATTTAGTCCTACATACAAGTGGTAACAACATATTATCAGTTTAACATGAAACAGGACTAAAAGCAAAGAAAACTGAAATTATTAGGATTTAAACATCATGAGGTTTAAAAACAAATATAGTGATCAGAGTATAGACTAATCATTACCGAAAGAATAATACTGCAATGGAAATTGCATCATGCATGGACATTACAGTAAACAAAGCCGGACTTACGTACCTTTTGGTTTCAAGACAAACTGCCTGCCGAGTGCTCCTGTGTGTGAAAATTTGGCATAAAAGGATGTATCTTTCCTCCACATTAAATCAACTTATATCCAGCAAGCAATAGTTACATTTTCACAATGTGCTGGCGAGCATGGGAAAATATCGATGTCTGAGGAAGTACGTCTGTGTGTGCGTGTCTTTATTTCTGCTTGAATGTATGTGCGGATATGCTTCTATGTGTGTGCCAACTAATGTGGAAGTTAAGGTTATGAAAATTAACTTTGTGTGTGGGACTGTGTTGTCAGAAACCACTGGTTTTGCATATGGTGTGAGTGTGTGTGTGCAAATGTGTTGTGTGAGAACCAGGAGGTGATTGCACACACGTGTTTTCACAACCAAAGAGCTGGCTGCTTCCTCCTTCTGGTCACCTCTCTACCTATCTCTGCTATTTTGTGTCTGCAATATTCACCTAAATACAAACCGTTAGAATGTGATGCGGAACTGTATCACATGAATGGCATGAATGGCTGTCGATTAGGGGCGGAAAGGGAAGGGGTGGTTTGGTGCATGGTTGCATGTACATGTGTACTAGAGTACTAAACAGCATAATAAAGAAAATCTGCCTGTGGTTTAGAGATAAATACTTAAACATGCTGTCAGTTCTGCAGTGTCTATGTGCCAAGAAAAAAAAGAAACAGATTTCACAGATATAGATGCACTGTTTACGCCCACTGACTCTTCTGCATTTTCGCTTGAAATCCAAGCCAGTAGTTCTGCTTTTAACCTTTGTAACCAGGTTCATTTACTTATGTGCCTATATCTCTTTCTATGTGAGTTGTTTGAATCTCAGTTAGTATGTATTCATTGGAAGCAGACCTATGTCATATAGCATGACATAAAAAGTCATAATATAGTAGTCAAAAACGACATCATAGTAAAGTATGACATACAAATGTCATTGTATAGTATGTCATAAAAAATAATAGTATATTATGCTGTAACAATTTCATAGCATAGTATGGCATAGGTTCTCAAACTTTTTGGGGCCAGGGATTTACAGGGCAGAACATTTTCCAAGGAACCCCTCATAATTGTACCATTGATTAAGCATATGCTTACGACCATTTGCACTATTATGCCATTTAAACTATTTGCATTCTAAAACCTTTCAACTTAAAGAGACAGTTCACCCCCAAATCAGGAATACATATTTTCCCTCTTACCTGTGGTGCTATTTTTCTATGTAGATTGTTTTGGTGTGAGTTTGGAGAAATCTGCCATAGAGATGTCTGCCTTCTCTCAAACATGATGAGAACATAAGGCACTTGGCTTGTGTTGCTCAAAGCTCTGAAAGAATTAGAGTTGAAATTGCTTACAACAACGTCTGTGGATTATCTTGAGTATCTGGGTCATGATTTCTGGAACATTGTTGTTGAGTTTTTCAAATGCTTTTTTCTCTGAGGCAGATATCTCCAAAACTCTGCAACTCAAACCAAAACAATCTATATTGCTAAATAGCACTACAGGTGTAAGGAAATATTTGTATTTTAGATTTTGGGATGAACTGTTCCTTTGAATACTTCAGACCTGTTTCATAGTAATAAACAGAAACAGATTTAAATTTGAAGCATGTTAATACTACATATATTCGTTTGACTCAAACTGAAAGCATTCATACTTTTCAAGTAATTGATCTTAGAAGCTTTTGGAAAATTTGTAAAAAGACTGACATAGTCCTTACAAATAGAGACATTTAATATTACCAGTCTAAAGCTGACTCTCAGAAGGTGCTTCAACTTTAAAACAGTGAAGATAATGATGTGTGTCACAATCATATCATAGTTTCTATTGGCCCAACACAGGTTGGACTAATGGACACAATATGCTTGTTTTATATAGAATGCCATTCAAAAAGTTAGAATTTACATTTGTATGTGATACAAATGTCGTAAAAAATGTCTTAGTATAGTTTGCAATAAAAAATGTCATTAAGACCATCTTTATTTCATATGATACAATGCCCATGTGGTAAGGTGTATATATAGAGAATAGAAGCTGCATTAAGAGGAATGCCGTGGCCAGTACTAGCTCAAAAGGGTGCTTCTACTCAATACTGAGCAAATGGTCTGAATACTTATGACCATGTGATATTTCAGTTTTTCTTTTTTAATAAATTTGCAAAAATTTCTACATTTCTGTTTTTTTCTGTCAAGATGGGGTGCTGAGTGTACATTAATGAGAAATAAAATGAACTTTTTTGATTTTAGCAAATGGCTGCAATGAAACAAAGAGTGGAAAATTTAAAGTCGTCTGAATACTTTCTATACCCACTGTATATAGTCGGGGGTCCTTGGCCTGAAAAATGTTGAAGACCCTTGGTATAGCATGTCGAAGAAAGTCATGGATAAGTAATTGTATTGTATTCCGAAAAAAGTCATAGTAAGGCATGTCGACAACAGTAATATAATTCATAGCATAGTATCTTGACATTAAGGCATAAAAAAGTCATAGTATAGTAAGTCAAAAAAGCCATAAATAAGTCATACTATATATAGCATGTCGAAAAAAGTCATAAATAAGTCATTGTATAGTTTGTCAAAAAAAGTAATAGTATAGCATGTCGAAAACATTCATGAAGTCAAAGTTTTGTATGTCGTAAAAAGTCATAATATGGCATGTCGACAACATAATTTATGGTATAGTATGTTGAAAGAAATCATAAAAAATATAATTGTATAGTATACCGAAAGTCACAGTATAGCATGTCGAAAAAAGAAAAAAAAATCATAGTGTACCATGTCAAAAAAAGAAATAAAATAGTTCATAGCATGTCAAAAATAGTCATAGTATAGCATGTCGAACAAAGTCATAAAAAGGTAATTGAATAGTTTGTGGAAAAGAGTTATGATGTAGCATGTCGAAAAAAGTTATTCAAAAACTCAGTTTACACAGGGATGCCCAAGGAAATTCAGTTGTAGCCCAACAAATACATGACAAACAAAACAAAAACAGTAGTACATGAATTTGCATAAGGAATATAAACAGGAGCAACAAAAACAATTCTTTTGATACATAATATGGGTGACCGTTTCACATAAAAAATTAAACATGAGGAAAACATTGTACATCAACTTTGACTGCGTATGAGCACCAAGCATCATGATGTAGACACAGAGTCCACCTCCTCAAGTCCCACCGGAGTCTTGAGCCCTATCCCGCTGTCTGCCCATCAAGTGCAGCTCGATCCGGGATGAACGATGGAGCCAGGTGTCTGTGAAGATGTGGACTCAACAGTCACCGACCTACCGCTGCTTTCATCTATCAAGCAGTAGGATGGGTAGTGGAGTACCCTTAAGTCCTAGCTGGGTTAGCTTAGCTTCCATCTCGTCTCTCCTCGACAGTTCAGTGGATGGCTGGTTGGTCAGACTTGGGCGTTGATCAATATATTTCCCAATATATTATGTCAAAAAGGTAATTGTATGGTACATCAAAAAAGTCATGAAAGATAAAGTATAAAGTAAAGAAGAAGTACTGTATGTAAAATAAAAAATTGAACAAAGTAGGTCAAAGAAAGTCATAGTATGTTGAAAAAATTATTAAAATGTATTATATCTAATATAGTTTGTCACAAAAAAATCATTCATAGCATAATAAAATAATATATAATAAAAAGAATAGAAAATAATTTAACATCTCATAAAAATGTTGTATGTTTAGTATAACATGGAATAAAAAGTAATAGTATAGTTTGTCAAATATGTCATAGTATGCCATAACAAATGCCACTCTATGGTATTCCATAAAAAAATGTCACGTTTTATGTACGACTTAATCAGTTTGACAAACAGCATTAAGAAATTGTTTATATCCAAAAAGAAATTAAAAACTTTTTCCAGAAGTCATATTTGAATGAATTTCCAGAAACATCTCACAACTCAGATCTTACTTAAATACCACTCTTAAGTGATTGCATTAAAATGAGTGACACCGATACCTAAAACGAAACGGCCAATAGCTTATAGTGTATGTTACACTATGGAGTCAAAGTATTGGCTAATTACAAAAAAGAGTGAGAGAAGATGTGGTAATGCTAGCTGTGATGTTGACAGATGTGATGTTAAGGCGACTGTGGCTAAGTGGAGAGCAGGGCCGTCCTTCGATCGAGGATCGGCAGTTCGATCCCCGGCTCCGCTAGTCGCGTGTTGATGTGTCCTTGAGCAAGACACTTAACCCCAAAATTGCTCCCGTGGCTGTGCCTACGGTGTAGAAATGTGATAGACTCTGAATTGTAAGTCGCTTTGGATAAAAGCGTCTGCTAAATGACAGTAATGTTAACAAATGTGTTTTCTATTGTCGATCAGCAAGCACTTAGTTAAGAAGCATTTACTGCAACTACAGCTTGTGCTCAACAGAAGGGGTGACTTTGCAGGCATTGGAGTCTGCAATGGAGCTGAAATTTATCGACCTGTTATTTATAACCATATTCAGAAAACACCTCACTGCATTTCCCAACAGAGAACAGCAGAGGAAAACCCCTTGTAACTACCCTGACCACAAAGCAAGGTGGAACTATTTTCTCAGTAATAGCTTTGGAATGCATACATGAGTTTAGTCAGTACATTGCAGCTAATGTGTAATCCTTTTGTCCTTTGTCTTATGGGTTGATTTGAAAAACAAAGTTGTATTTTTTTATTAAAACATTCTAACCAAAGCACCACATCTCAATGTTCTTATTTACAATACAAGCATTTACACATTTTCAAATGCAACCACAATCCCAGTGCTGGCCACTGGGTTCTCAAGCTACATCATATGAGCATCTGGACTGTAGCAGCATTACAAGAATGTTTTAGTCTTTACTTTCCCATCTTGAGTTTCTAAGCCCACCCTAGGGTTACGGTGTAAACTGATGTACAAACAAAGAGCACATGACATTTACTGACACCAAATGTAATCCTGTTATTGGTTGCAGTCAATACAACACACAGGTCACTTGATGGGAATTCCCGTTTCCATTTCACTGCCTCAGTTCGACTAGAAAAATACAGTACTCAAAATAAATTAAAATAACTCCCCATTCCTTCTCAACAAGGATGTGTTTCACGCAGCTTCACAGGAAATGGGGTTATCAAGTTACCTTTCTTGAGTGGATCATAAATCAGCACGCTTGGCAAAGGTACAATGTACAGTTAAATATTCAAGTGTTCTTAGTCAATTCATCAATCATTAATGTAAAAACAATGACTTTGGAACAGAGACTGAGTGTACAAGACAATACGGTGAAAACAGTACTGTGAAAAAGTCTTAGACCACAAGTGTTTATTCTATATTAATACAAGGTAGACCACAACTGTTGAGAAGAATAACTTAGTATTTCATCTGAGAAGGTACACCTGAGTAATTATCTATGTCATAGATGAGAGAGTAGAATATATATAAGAGGGGGTTTCCAAAACTCAACAACAATTTAGTCAAGTGGTGTGAGACTTTTGCAAAGTACTATACACTATATTGAGTCCTAAAACAATAAACTATAGTTTATACAACAAAAATATGGCTTAAGGGGCAAACGCTAGATGAAAAATATCTTTACAAAATCTAAATAAAATAAGTACCAAATATTGGGTTCAACTAGAATGTGTGCATGCACACACAAACGCGTCTATTTAGGGGTAGTGCATCTTGGGTCTCCAGAGAATGAGTCTTTGTGAGGTGAGAATGTGTGTGACCACACTGAGCAACATCAGGAAGATGGTCATGGACATGACTATCACGTAATGGCTAATGCTGAAAGAGACAGAGAAACAACGTGTTTATATGTAACTGTATGCATCACAGATAGCCTTAAAGAGATGATGGAAGGCACAAGAAAAGGAGGAAAGACAGTGTGTGTAAAGTTATTAATCAGTAACTAATAACAGACTTCGAACCGTGTATTTCCAAGTTAACCTACCTTGTGCCAATGTCCAACCAGCTTCCGTAGTCCTGCACTAGGAAGAAAAAGTGCTGAGGAGAGGACGAGGGAGTTACAAATTAGTATACTGTATATTGTACTTTACAGGAAAAACAACATCCCAGTGCATCTTTAACCCAACACTCAACTTCAACATTTCACACAACCTTACCAGAGCCATCAAGTCGGAGATGACCAGGACAATGAGGAACAAACTGGAAAGGAAAAATAAGAAACAGAACAGAGGAAAGCATTAAAAGCAAGACCTTTCATATTAAAAACATACACAACTACAAAAATACTTCACGTATAGCACAGACAGTAGATTGACATCCTGTTCACACACACAACGAAGCACAGAAAAAACAAACACATTGAGTTTATTTTAGCCGACTCGTGGTTTCAGATCTCTGAAAGCAGCGTATAGTGTTGGTGTGTTTAAAAGTCAAATTGTATCCGACACCAAGAGCAGACGTGGTTTATGTGTACTGGTTGTCAGTCCGTCAACCACCAGAGAAGTTCAAAAACAGAAGTTTGTGACTGAACAGATGAGTTGAGTATCATATTTTGAAGGCTGCGACAAGAAGTTACCTTCTTGAGGAGAGCTGTGTTACAACTTGGATGGTCTCAAAGGTGCACATTACTATTATGAATGGAATGATAACCTGGAGGAACAAAGGACAAGACATTTAAGATTTAATGAGGAAGTCCAGAGAAATAGAATTCATTGAGGTTGAAACGTATTTAAGCATATTTCCCAGACATATATATCTATAGATTATGACTAATATGGTTATAATACCATAGAAACAAAGTTGTATGGTACCTTCCACATCATCAGCCCTCCCATGATGAAGGGGTTGAAGACAGTGAGGAAACAATAAACAGACGCTGGGTCAAAACTAGAAAAATGGAGAAAGAAGCAGAGGATGTGAGTGCAGATAAAAACAACTTATTCAGAGCACAAATCTGTTTAGGGAATACAGCTCAATTAACTTATTTAAAGTACAGCATGACTGCGGCACAATGCAGGCAACCTCAGATAAAGTACACAAGCATGCACTACACAAGAGACTCTGTTGTCTAAACAATGCACATACAGTAACACACAGAAAGCGAGTTAACTGCTTTTTCAAGAGTCACATATTTCCTTCCTGTATTCAAACGCTGACACTCAAAAAGCACATATCATCAAAACCATGAACCATGCATCCCCCCCCCCCCCCATTAACACAACTTCCTGCCATTTACCATACACAAATATATATATATATATTTATATATAAATAAAAAAAACATATATACCTGTTAATGGAAGCTATGTTCCCTGTGCCAAAGAAAGCTGTTATTATAAAAAATACCTGTAGAAAATAAATAGTCAAGGAAAGATTGCGCACTTCACACATCCAACAATTTAATCCTAACTTTTCGAAATGATTATCTAATTGGATATAGTTTGGGCTGAACAACAACTGCTGACTACAATGAGACAGAATCACTGCTTCCAAATACACTGGTGCAAGAAAGGTCATTTGCCTTTGTGCTTCAGCTAATGTCACTGTTGCAACACGGATACAAAAAAATACGATCTCCTGATGTCATCCAACTTCAGTTGTCGGATCTTGGCGATGTCAATGTTTGCGGAGAAATCAATTGTGGAGAGCTGAAAGAAAATACACACACAAAAGCATGCCCATACACATGTGCATACACACCCAGTCACACACATTCATAGACACACCCAAACATATGATGACATCAGTCAGTACTGACACCTTGTGTACATTATTTAGAGATTTAGGCAAGCCTACTTCACAGATTACAGAATGTTATCATGAGTAGGGATTCCTTGTTTCTTTCATTAAGAAAATACCAATAAAGTGAGTAAATAAATGTTACCATAACGCTCCAGTAGAGGTAAGTAGAGGCTCCAGAATGTATTTTTGAATAAAATCTACATGAACATATGCCTATACAAGATCAAACGGTACATGCAAACAAGAAATGTGATTGTCGGTGTTGTATACAGCCGACAACATGTGATGCTGCTCTTCAAAATCTAAGTATGGAAGCATACACTTAAGGGTTTTACCTCTTGTCTGCCAGAGACACCCTGAGCAAGCATAGCTTCCTGTTCAATGTTGATCCACACAAACATCAGCCAAGATAACACAGGGGGGAACAATGCCTCTGACCTGGGAGGGAGAAAACACACATTCGAAATTTTACAATATTGTAGCTTTGCTGTGATTATAAAACTCCACACAAGGCGCAATTTGATGCGTTAGTGCAGCTGCAGGAAGTGTGTGTGTGAAATTGCTTGCCTTACCCAGTGCTGAGCAGTAGGTATGTGCCCGTGAGAGAGAGGAATATGCTGAGGAGTCGGTGGAAAAGACGCGTTGAGCTCATCAATGGAACGAGCATAGAAGATGCTGAGAAAAGACAAGAGACAGGGGAGATGTGCTGGGTCTTACAGCTTGAGGGGCATGTAATACAGCAGGCCACTTTTATTGTTTTAAAAGATAATTCTCTGTCTTTTTGTCTTTATTGGTTAGTCAGGACAAAAGACAGGAAAGGAGGAGAGGGGACTAGATACAGCTATGGGGGGCGGGTTGAATTCAAACCCAGGACTAAAATAGTTTAAATTATATCTGATTGATCTTGAAAATGTTTAAATAAATACAAAATGAACAGGATTATAATCTCTTTATGAAATTATATGGTGTGAACATGATCGCAAGTATCCTCTACTCACTCACACCCACCTACCTACCTAGTGTGGTCCAGCTGATGATCTGATTAAAAAGTGGCAGGCCCTGTTTCTGCTGCAGGCTGGAGTGTGTGAGGGATGGAATGTACGCGCACACTGCCACATGGAGCATCTGTATAGTTTGACACAAAATCATTTATTTTTAGAAAATGCAGTGACACAAACACAATGATAGACACACACACACACACACACACACACACACACACACACACACACACACACACACACACACACACACACACTGCAGGTACCTGGGTGACAAACTGCTGTCTGTCACTCAGGTGCAGTGTTGTTCTCCGTCTGGATGACCAGAGGTAACAGGCTGAAGTGAAGATAGCGAGTAGACCTGCAAAGGTACTGCGCAAACAAACATCATATATGAAGTTATTATTACAGACATGCTCCCGACTTCATTTTCCACATGCGTGTTGAATAAAGATGCTGCTGTTAAGGTTCTCTGACTCTGATTTCACATGTCATATTCAGTTTGTCTGTTATGGACATGCCTTATAAGCTTGTGAAAGCAGTTGTATGTGTAGTAGTTCTATGGCTCTAGATGAAGCTTTGTCATCCTCCAAATTTTTATATATACATATATTGACAAAGGAAAGTTATTTGTATTAATATTGCGATATTGATTCCAACAACAATGCCCATCTCTAAATGATTTCTAGCAAACAAATGTCGCCACTATGTGATGATGTTTAAGTATAGAGATAAACAAATATTTACTTGTAAGTGACTGAACTTAATCTGGTTTGTGAGTTTAGCCATGGCGTGACATTGTGGTAAACTTTCTGATAAATGTAAGCAAATAGAGGAACCACTCACACCAGATGTATATTAGGCTCTCTGCCCACAACAGGCATCAGGGGGAAAGCAGCCAAACACAGACAGCCCACACACCAGCTCACCGAACAGAACTACACATGAAGAGAGACAATTAGTTCATATAGTTAGATACTGTATTTGGTCTCATAATTTAAGGCTTTATCTGACAGTAGACAAAGTGCAAAGTCAGATTTCTTTAAAAAAAAAAAAAAACTTCTGTAAGCAGGACATGTTGCTGCTCATTTCTAAGAAGCTGTACCTTGCATTCCCAAACCTTCAGAACACTTCCTTTTCTATACCTGTTCATGTGTGGAATTATTCAAATACCATGCCTTTTCTTTTTAGTACTGTGGCTGCTGAAACGGTGATCTAAAGCGTAGTTACCTTGGCCTTGACATAAAGTCCCGACAGGAAGGGCCAGAGAGAGAGGATAGCCAGGCCCACAGTAAGCATGGCGCGATGGAAGAAACTCACCACCTGGGGGCAGAAAAGTTAAACTGTCATCCATGTTACAGAGTAACTTCTACTAAACACAATGAGCCCAATACATTGTGACCACTTTGTAATACGTACTGTATGTGGTGGTGAACTCAAGGCTGATAAGTAACACAGCACCAGTGTGCTGTAGCAGAAATATGACTGACTGTACACTAGACTCCTACCAGTAGCTCGATCCCAAACGACACCAGCACAAAATAGCCAAAACACTTCCACAGTGGCAGAGAGGGAGCTGAGCGAATTAAATCTGTCAGAGTTCCAGACCTGAAATGGATCAGAATTAGAATATTATTTTTCTGTGGTAAAAGGGAGACACAAAAGAAAACTGCACGGGCTGTCCTTTCATCCATTTACAGAGGAGAACCATGAATGGATACAACACCACATCAAAGGATCAAATTAACACCTCACTGAAGCTGTGCGCACATTCACCAACATGTGTGTGTGAGAATAAAAAGCTGCTTTTTTTTTTTTTTTTTTTTTGCTGAGATCTTCAACGATGCGTTTTTGATATTTGCTGACATCATGTGTCTACGTGTGGTAATACTCCACCACTCTCAGAAAACAGCTTGCATGAACTTTTCCCATTTGTTTCATTAGTCTGTGATGTAAGTGTGCAGGTGTGTTCTATGTTTTGTTTATTTTACATTCTCTCAAATGTGTGCGTTACTCACTCTTTAAGGACAGAGTACCATAAAGGGACAGGCAGCAGGCAGTACACATAGTAGGTAACGGGGCTCCTTTGGATAAGCAGGAACACAGTGATCACCACTGTCACACACAAACACAGCCTCACCAAGGCATGGCCGGGAATCTGCACACATACACAGGAGCAACACCAATAATGTAATTTCACAAGACATTCAAGTTTCCGAAACTTGTCTTGGTGGAAGGAATCTTAGAGGCAAAGAAAGAGGGATTATAGTGTATGCCCTGACCTGTCGGAGGAGACTGGGGCGTCTGTTGAGGTTGGCATGAGTCTTCAGTATGACTAGGACTACATATGAGGTCCAGCCTACAAATCCCAGCACCACACTACAACCCAGAAAGAACCTATCATATGTGTGGTAGTAGGCCAGGCCCTCCAGAGCATGGCCTATCAGAGACCGGCACAGGGAAATCTGATAAGAGGTGGACGAGGGGAAATGAAAGGGAGAACTTAAGCAAAATCAAATGTCATGGAGAAGATGAATCAGCAAGAAATGTAACGTAACAAAAAGAAACTCTGGATGACAAAAAACACAAAAGGTTTGTTCATGTAGACAGAAATTACCACATGTTAGCTGTTCCAGAGGCGTTAGGCATAATAGTGGCTAACTTTCTACCACAACATCAGCTGAGTATTATTCAACAACATCGGTCACTACATAGTCCTCGAACGTACCATAAGTGCTAAATGTTGTACATGTGAACACCTTGTTACAACACCAGCTTAATGTATTTAAGTAGTTAACTTTGACTCACTTGTGTAACTGTTAATTTACCTACAAGCTACATACAGTCATTTCCAAATACTCACAGTATCTTCATACTTCTCCAGCTGAATCAGTATTTTAGCCTTGTGGATCAATTCTAATTGCTTTGACTCAGTCAGAGGTCTGGAAAACAGTGAGACAGAGCAATAAAGAGTGTGTGAAATTGTATTTGATTGTGGTCGGAAATATGTTGACAGGATAAAGCGTGGGCCAGCAACAGAGTACTTCAACATTTGAAACCTAATTCACAGCTATTACAAGTCATTAACTCACTAATTGTACTTACTGGTATGGGGTGAAGAGAAAAGTCAAGGTTGTCTCCTTTTTCTGGGTCATTTTTATCTACAAAAATATATATAGCTCAGTCACCAGAGATGTATATATATATATATATATATATATATAACCAAATGACTGTATTATAAGATGTGTGCAGCAATAGCTTTATCACAGTTTAAACCTTAAAAAATGAAATGTTCATAGCTATCATTTTGAAGTTATTGTTGTAAATCAAATAAATAGTACTGGAGATATCTAGTAATACCAACATAGTAGTACAATTCCAACTGATAATATTAATAATACTTTTTTACCATGTTATATTTATTTAAGTTCAACATTGAAGCTACAAATGATTGTTTTCTTGGCCTTTGTAACATACCAACATGTCAGAAATAGAAGAGCTGGATGCTGTCATACCTTGTACTGCTCTAGTACTTGAATAGCATTCGTGTACATGCTTTCCGCCTTGAAGTGGTCACTGTTGTTAAGGTAGAGAAGAGGTAACACACCCTGAAGAGACACAGACACATAAAAAGGTGAAGATGAAGATGTGTGGACACATTGTCACAGGCACTGGAGTGTACTCTGAATATCAATTTTCGACAACTTTAATGATTCGGTGAGCACTTACAAAGAACTTTCTAAGAAAATCACAAAACTATTTCCTTTGTTCTTAGTTTATCTCTGGACTTACAACTGAGTTAACAGGAAAGGGGACACCAATGAGAGAAGCCATGAGGGGAGTGATGTCTGCCTGCAGAAAACAATGAAAAAAATATATAATTTACTATCTTTTGTTGTGTTATATCACCTTATAATATATATGTCAAAGTATCTTATCAAAAAGTGGCCATGGGCCTAACCTGATTGACGTCAACTCTTCGAAGATGCTCCAGTTTCCAATCTGACAAAACCAGTAGGCATAAAAACAATGTCAATAAAACGTATAGTATAAACATTAATGTTTTTATTACAAATAAAATACAAAATGCCTGAAAATAAAAATAATTGTCTTTAGTGGATGTAGGAGAACCTGGTTCCTAAATTTAAGCTTAGAAACCTGTAGTACATGAGTTGAGCACCTTGTAGGAAGCCATCAGTGTATGGTTGTGGTTCAGTGACTTTGTGGGCACTGTGAACTCCTGCTCCCCACACCACTAAAGGGGTGAGTGTCTCAGAGGGATGACCTGCACCGTGTGAACCTAGAGACACATTCACACACATCGACAGTTGATATAAAAGCCTCCAGTGAAGACTTGATTGTGTTTCATTGTATACGGTAAAAAGGCACACACACACACAGAAACAAGAGTCTTACCCCAGTTTGTCATGCCATGGTCAGAGGTGAACACATAGGCCGTTCTTCCATCATGACCAAAGAAGTCTTCTACCATAGACACCAGTTCAGCGACACCGGTGTCTACGAGACCAATATTTTCCAGGTACTCCCTAGACAAAAGGCAAATGAAAGATAAAGATACCACAACTTAAATTAAGGCTACTTTGTTAATTTAATTTAATGTCATACAGAGTGAAATCAAAAAAAGAAAATCGTACGAACACGTCTCTTACTGTGACATTGGTCTGTGAGCGTGTCCGTTTGTGTCGAGGCCCAGCAGATGCAGGAAGAAGATATTCTCATCCTCAAGCAGACTGGCCCTCAGGCTGGAGTTAGACTTTGCTGACTGAAAGAATGACTAGAGCAGAAAGAAAAGCAAACACAGTTAGATTTATTCAAGATGGCAATGTGCAATCCTCACAACCGCTATTTTCCAATAAAGCTTGTTGCAGCCTTGCTACAATCCATTGTAATGACTCAACGTGGCATCACATTTTGCGACATGAAAATGCATTTTGTGTCCACAAATAACATAAGCACCTTGCTGCATTAAGCGACAATGAATATAAAAGTGGAAAGTATAAGCTTTACACAAGCAAATTATCTAAAAACCCTATGACTTATTCAGTAGTTACTATCAACAGATGTATCACAACATGCATCGTTATGGTGAGTAATTCCACTACAATACTTTGACTTGAGTGAACACCCAGGTGTCCAGCCTGGAGGCATCTGTGGAGGCAAAGTCCTCCTCCGCTGCTGGGTATGTGTGGGTATACACATGGTCTCCACTGGCACCTGGCAAAACCACAGCACAAAATGAGCTCCATTACAAGAAATTTAAAAAAAATCAAAACATGTCAGCAGTGAGGAATAAAAGAGATGAGTTGTGAAGCACAAATTCCAGATTTTTGATACAGTCTTAATCTGTGACCTTTTGCTTTTATACTGATTAGGTTGGTTGTCCTGATTGTGTGGTTCATGTAAGTGTGTGTGCATGTGTGTGCGTTTGTGTACCTTTAGCAAACATTGGCAGAATATCAGGGCTGCCCCAGCTCCAGGTGTGTCGGGTCTCATTAAACACAGAGTCAAACTCTACAGGATTCTCCTTCCAACCTAAAGAAAAAACACACATAAACAGGTCAATAACCTTGCACTCACAAACAGACAAACAGTAGTAGTCAAAAGCTCCAATTAATTTGTCTTCCACATAGCCTTTTCTGTATCAACATACACACCTACCTTTGGCAATAGCACTAACATCCTCATAGAAGCCAGCAATGAGAGCAACATGACCGGGACGAGACTCAGTGGGCACGCGTGTGTGTGACACACCCCAGGTACCCTTCTCCTCAATCACACTCCTGATATTGGGAAACACACACAGATGTGCACATACACACACACCAGTTACTCCGGAGTTAAGAACAAAGAATGAAAAGAAAAGACCAACAATAACAATTACATACACACAAACAAAAACAAATTGCAGATATATACACACCGTTTCCTATTCTGGATTAATTAATACACACAAAAACACACCACATCAGAGCTCAATGCTCTGTTTCAGTTTCCAAACCTCAAGTATGGGGCCCTGGACGAGCCGTTCGGGAGGAGTGAGAAGAGACTGTCTGCTCGGAGACCATCGCCCACCACTAACACCAGTCTGGACGCAGGGGGTGCCAGGGGTGTGACCTGGGGTGTCATGCCATGGACCAGGGGAGAGGTGAAGTAGATGTCAAAGATAGAGAGGAAGAAGACCACATGGACTGTTAGTCCAACCAAGAGGAAGGTGATCATCCTCATTTTCCTCAGCACCGAGCTGGGTCTGCAGAGCAACCATGGGGGGAAAGAAAAGACAGAATAAAAATGACTGAGGCAAATATGGACAGACATACATATTATATTATATAGATCAGGATTAAAATGTTATTTCAAATGGAAAAGGAGGTATTAGAAAGGTTCACTATTACATAGCCAGGTTAAGCCATAGTTTGTGCCATGTAAAGACTGCTTAATGGCTAGGGTAATCCTTCTGTCACCATATGCTATTAATCAATGAGCAGACATTATATTTAGTTCATTCAAATAGTAAATCACTCACTGGGCCAGCAGTCATTACAACTTGTTTTATTTTATTTTTTACAAGAGAGTGACTTTGAAAAGCAATCACATCTTTGGCCATACAAAGAGTATTACCTGTAACTTGTCAGTGGAATCTGCACACAACAACGAGGAGCGCTGGCTCGTTAATGAATGAATAGGAGATCAGAAGTATCTAAGTAACTACAGCCCATTCACAGGATTTAGATTCCATGTTATCTTCGGAGATGTCGACAGAACGCGACAGATCTATTGTGCGGAACAAGATCAACGTAATCTTTAAATGCGCCCTCCAACACACCCAACCGTCCTTCTTTCTAAGAAGATTAGTACAAGAAATTCAGGTAACATGAGCATTCACTTCCTTGTTGTGACTTTGAGGTTTTACGGTGACGTATGTACGTCGGAAGTTTATACTTTGCAGCTGAATTGTGGGTACTGTAGTTAAACAAAATGTTTCCAGCGAGCTTTCTACGAATATTTTTGAAACGCTATTTATCAAAATGAAAAAAATATTACGTTGAGTTTAATTGTCAATCTATATGTGTTATAGTGCAGTTTCACTAGCAAATGCTATTATCACAGCTTGTGGTTCTTTGATAACACATTAGCTTGCATAGGCTACCAGCTGTCAAATGTGCCCTGCCCAGTTTTCCTTTCTGTCTCGCTATTATCCAATCATGTTCTACTATCCCATAAAAGAGGCGGGCTGTGGGTCAAATTTGGCCATTCATAGCTTGGCATTCCTCCCCCCTTGTCAAAGCCACCTATGATCGCTAGCTTGATATCCATTCAGGAAGAGGCGGTTCTGGTTAGCTTAGCTAGCTTAGCGTGCTAAGAATCCTTATAGTGCAAAAATGGCGTCGGTCAACCCGTTCAATCTCAGTGATTCTGAGGAGGAGGCTGAACGGCGACCCAATGAAACAGTTGACACAGAGAGAGGTCCCAGTGATGGGGCGCCAGGGCCGCCGCCAGGTAATTCTTTCTCTCCGCCTGCGGACGCCGAGCCCCCGACACTTCTGCTGTCTAGCAACCGGACGAGCCCCAGTGGTGAGGGCTCGGTCTCGATCGCGGCCACCACCGCTATGGCAGGCACCACCGAGACACGGATATCGGTGGACGGTATTGCTGCACAGCTATTACGGGACCAATACATCCTCACGGCCCTGGAGTTTCACACCGAACTGTTGGAAGCAGGCAGAGAGCTTCCGAGGCTGAGGGATTATTTCTCTAACCCTGGCAACTTCGAGCGTCAGAGCGGCACTCCGCCTGCCAAAGATCAGGTACTCGGACCTGGAGGACCGCTGAGTAAGTAACGTCGGCTGCTCCCAGTGCTAGTCACGTAGCTGTCGCCTAGCTCTGTCTTTAATGCTGCATTGTACAGAGTTAGCCCACTGGCTACCTTGCGTTATTTTAAAACACTAGCGTCGGAAGACAATAGATCATGAGATAACCGCCTGCTGCACCTGCCCTTCTGGTCGAGGGCCCGCAGTCAACAAGCGGGTTTAGAGGGTCAGCTGTGCTGGCTGACATTCAGACTATATCATCACAGGAATGCTGTTCTGCTACATCACACTATCTAGCCGGACGAGATGGATGAGTCTATGACAGTCCTATAATAATCATGCAAATGCATTGAGCTCTGTAGGGAAATACACTTGTCACTTCGGTTTATTGATCAAGGGTGTATATCTGTCGCACCCTCATCACCTTACAGGACTTCTGTGTGGGAATAACCTGCAGTATGATGTGGTGACTGAAGAGTCTGGACACTTAAACAAATATGCTATGCAAATTGTAACCATGGTGACAGCCCAATGCACAAATAAATAAAGCCTGCAATAATCAAATCAGTGTTTTAGTTTCCGAATGGCTCACAATGTTGACAGTATCTCACGACACAGTACTGCATTTGTAACTTTGACTGTTTTAGATCAGCAACAAGGCCAGATGATGCATTTTGATTGTATAAACATTTGGCAGCTTTCCAGCGGAGGGAACAACAGCATATATAAATAAATGCTGAAAAAAAGAGATGATCTGGTTTTATAACTAGAAGATTTATTTTCTCTCATTTAGATGCAGTAGCAATGGACAACACACCTGGTGTCTAAGGAGGCTGCTGTATAGTCTTGAGTGTGGGTCAAGGCGACTGTCCCAAGACAACAAGCCCCTACCTGACCCCCACCCTGTAGAATTAAAGACCTGCATAGACGGAGGTATACGTTTTAGAGACCACAGCATCAAACACAAAGTGTGAGCTGTGTGTGTTAGTTGCAAAGGTCTGGTTGTTTGTATTATCATACAAACCCTTAAAAAAGTTCGGAGCATGGCAACAGAAAGCCAGGACTTGACAGCACCCCTGTTGTGAAACTGGCAGGAAGGTTATTAGAGAAACGGTGCTTTCACTCTTATTAGATTGATGAGAGTAAAGCTTCATAAGAATATGACATCCCAGATTCCTGATAAGTCAAATCTATCTTCAGACGTAAAAATTATGCAGCTGATGGAAGTTGTTGAGGGAGAAGGCGATGGACTTAAGGCTTGTTTATGCTTAGCCTGAAAGTATTCACACACCCAGTGACAGTAAGCTATAAGCAGTTCATTGCAATAAGCATGTGAATGGATGATGACTGTGTTACAAGCATCATCATCTCTGCAGCTGTTGCTCTAAGCCATATGACACAACAAGGCATCTCTCACCACCTTGCTAATTTGCAGCAAGGGAGCATGAATGGCGAGTCAGGTCGTTGTTTGCTCTTTTGATGCAAGGAGCTTTTGAGCATGCAAGTCATTTAAATTGCCACGTGCGAGGTTGACGGTAAGCTGTCACATTTAGGAAGTTGGTGTTGTTTTTTCACATAAGTATGGGACACCAGAAAGCGGCTCTCTGAACATGAATCCAAAAGAAAAGTTGTAGTTGCAGGCCCTTACCATCTGCTACTTCAAATAGGCCACATTGTAGCTTCACATAAAAAGTTCTAGGCTCTGTTTGTAACCACTATTTATGTCTTCTCTCCTGTTACAAATCTGTAAAGTCGGCACAAAGGCAAACCAGGTCAAACACACGCCACTGTCAGCCTGTTGAAACAATCCTGCCATGTGTACCTCTTCCTCAGTAGCACTGCCTATTAGTTGGCCCAAACTGACACGCACTCTCCGTCTGGGGCAGGGAGTTGGTATTGTGTGTGTGAGAAGGCGATTAATGATATTTGTGGAGTGTTGGCTTAGCTTCATGTAGTTCTGGACCTGCACAGACTGGCTGCCTGTTCATTACTCTCTGCCTTTCATTACACTGTGTGTGTGTGTGTGTGTGTGTGTGTGAGTGTATGTGTGCGAATGAATGCAGGTGGTTCTGTGCATTTGAAAGAGTTATATGTGCATATTTCTTAGCAGTGGAGCAGATCACAATGTGGATTATTATTGTTTGGTACCTTTTTCATTGTGAGTTGGCACAGCATACTAAATATTCCACATAAACTATGTCACTGTGTAGTCACACCAATTGATCACCTAGTCTACTATTAACTATGGAATTCATATTTGCAAATATATAAACCAGTTTATTTACATGTAGGATTAGTTTGGTTTTAAACTAGAGCCATGTTCCAGGTGACAGTCATGCCTAGTTTATACACAGGCTTATTGAGCGTTACACTTCATTGAATATATTATCATAATGTTGAAATTCTGAGACAAACGTCCGTACAGGTTTCTGTACCTGCCTGTGTATCCTTTAAAATGAAATCCTATTGTTTCCCTCCCAATTTATATTTTGGAAATAGCTGACAGTCTTTCCAGAGCATCCTTTCCATTAACGGAGCTTGTGGGCTACCCTGTGGCCATCCATCTTCTCTTGTCTCTCTGTGTGTATCCGCTCTTTTTAATTGTATCTCTTTGTTCTCGAATCAAACTCTTGCTCCTTTCCCTGTCACCAATTGATCAAGCTGCCCGGCAGGATTGCAATGAAGAGGTGACAGTCTCAAGTGTCAGATCCATCACAGACAAGACAATACACACCACAGGCACAGAACCAAATAGTTAGCCAGGAAGAAATACTTGTTTTGTGCAATTTTGGCCCACATATGTGCATGCTCCTTCACTTTGTGGAATTACAGGTTAATTTTCTCCCTCACAGACGCATTCATACAAACACTAATTCACCAAATAGATTTCAGCCACCTACAGCAGGTGGCTGGCATGCTCAAACATTATCAGGAAGTAATGACAGCTGGAAGCATTCTCCATAGAAAGAGGGGTTAACCTGACCTGACGTCAGCAAGACGGAACAATGACACGCACACATTGTTGCACTCTCAGCCAGATCAGAAGCACACTCACTGTGTGGTCACAGTAATGAGAGTGTGACATACATTTGAACATGTGACACACACACACACAGTGGCGTTGTGAAGCTCAAAGTGGGGGGCGCCGGCCGTCGCCGTCTTGGCTGTGATGACAGTCTATCTCGTGGCTAATCCAAAAATAGGCTAAGAGGTGGATCGTCGGTGGCCGGTTGACACAGAAGATCAGACGGCTAGCAGTCAGCGACCTGCTAAGGCACTCAAAGCAACCGTGCACTCAATTAGGCCTAACTTTAAGCCTTATTATAATTTAAATGAGCCTCAAGTGGCCATTTCAGGAACTGCAGTTTTGAGCAACTCTGCGTTGCATTTCTCAGCACCCGATCATCCCACCGAGACAAAACACAGTACTCTCACGTCAAGCCCAGAAATATCAAGTTCACTAATGCATGACAGCTAATTGAGAAAGAACCAACTTTTTTTTAATGTGACTGAAAAGCCTGAAGTCTTATATGTCAAAGCACAGCAGCTAGTCTACAAGCTACATTTGGCTTGACCTTCCACTATATCAGAGGTATCGGAGAACAAATAGTCTAATCTTGCACTTGTTCTGAGGTGGAGGAAAGCTAACACCATCAGCTAAGCTACCAGGCCTGCCTACCTCAGTGAAATAGGAGCACAAGTATGCTTATGTGTCAGCTTCATCTGCTCTTCGAGTGAACAATACCTACTGTTAGTTCCCATAAAGTAAAGGTCTTAGCAAAGTGAACATTTCATGATTGATTTGTTTTCCCACATGTGCAGTGACTCATATGTTTCCTGGCTAAAGTATAACCTTCCCACATAGTTTTTAAAGGCCTCTGCTTTTAGCTGAATTTAACAAAGGTTCCATCTGTTTGGTCGAAGAGCGGGCCCATTGGTTAGTCACCATCACTGAACTAGAGCCAAGTGTTAGCATGCTTCCAGCCTGGTTAAGAGTCCTCAAGCAAAATACTAAATCCCTACCGCAGTGGGGCTACCGTTGTGTCCTTCAGAGAGGAGCATGTATAAAGGAACCTTTCTTCAGCATCAGTGCATTCCTGTCGCATGTTTAACAGTGGACTCATCTAGTTGTGTGGATTGTAGACTTGTCTCACTATTGTCTCCGTCTTTGTGTCTCTGTTCAGATCGAGCAAACAGCATCAGCACCTTGGACTCTCTGGACTTTGCCCGTTACTCAGATGACGGCAACCGAGAGTCGGACGAGCGACTGGCAGGTGAGATGAACCGTACTGCCAGAGGCCTGGCTTACCACGGGGACGTAACAAAATTAGGAGAATAGGCAGTGACGGAACGGGAGGATGGCGTAGAAAGAGACAATAACGGCTGCATCACAGCCTGTATAATAGTGATGTCAGGGTAACCCAAGCCACCACAAAATTTAAATATAGATTCATTCTGATGTTGTCACAGTGGCACTGCTGTATGTGAGCTGCTTTAATAGTGATAATAAGCATAGGTATTTTAACACATTTGATGTCAGAGTCCACACTAAACAAGAGTGTCGTCGTGTTTTTACGCAATCGCACTGTTTTTTCAAAAACTTGTCAACATGTCCCACTTCCAACATGCTGTATGTTTCTCTCTTTAACTTGGTTGAGGTGTTGGTGCCTCTTCCCATCAGCTCTCACACTGTGGAGTCAGTCTATGGTAGTTTTGGTGCGGCACCTGTCTCAAAATAGTTTGGAATCACACCCCCGTCCCCCAGTGGCTCTGTCGTGACACACCATTACATAGCTTTTGCCACATATACATTAACAGTCGAGACTGACGCCGATGGCGCCTCATCACAAAGCGCTGGTTCTAAGAGCAGCTGCTTGATTATGAGCAGCTTGTTGGTTTTCACTCCGATATTGTGTGATGACGGGACAGTGCTGTCATGCAGGGATAATTGTATTAACTTAATCTGCCTCCTGTTTTCATCTTTCTATTTTATAATTACTTTTTAGCCCTGCACATTATGCCATAGCACAGGTGGTTAATAACAGTAATAATAGTTAACATTATCCATTACCAGCTTAGTCCGGAAAAGCCCCAATCCATAACTGCAGAATGGAATTGTGCACAAACTGTGGCATACTTTATTATTTACGTTTTCTTTCTTTGACATTAGATTGTTTTGTCCTATTGTACATCAGTGCTAAGCATGAAAACTAGAGTGTCTTCCTGTATTGTAAAATGTTTTTTTTTTTTACATGTCTATAATTTAATATACATATTGCATTATTAGAGTAGAAAAAGGATACCATTTCTGTAAGAGTCTTAAGTTTAAACTGTGAACAGGGAGCTAGTTTTGTTATGGTTTGGGGCTTTTAACAGTCTATAAGAACATACTGACACACGGTACATTAATGCATTGTAAGGGCACATTTAAAACCATGCAGCAGAGATATTGGTTCCATGCTCCCAACTACAAAATATGCATCTTTTCAAAAATTACTATTACTCTCCAAATTGGCACCTTCCCCCCCCTTTCTCCTCCCTCTTCACCCACCCCCACTCTCATCCCCTGAAACTGTTCTTCTTGCCAAGATGCCTGCCCCCAGCTGTCTGACTCTGGGTTTTCTGGCTTCCTCCTGACGTTGATCAAACCCCAGTGACCAATACTGGACAAGTCACTCCATTCAGACTAGCTTTTTTTTTTTTTTTTTTTTTAAACCTTCTCCCCCGTTATTCAGTTCTTGGTTTTCCATTTGTTGCGCTTGCATCCTGTGCACTCTTGATCTGCTGGACAGGTTAGGGATGATGGAGTCAGAGTGGGTGAATTTGGTCATAAAAGTCCAACTAATGTGTTGCTGGCAGCTCTCTTTGCAAAAATATAATATTCTCAAAGTTGTGGAAACTGAAACTTGACAATGACCTTACAGAAAAACCTTAAAGATTGATGAGCATTTACACTTTTCATACTATTATGTTAAGTATGAAACCTACAACACCTGTTGACCCGCAATCCTGGACATTAGGAGACAGATTCGGGGACATCAACAGGATCACATCAGATGGCAGATTTTCAGTGCACAGCTATGCAACATAGTTTTCCTGCTCCATCGCTTCTTACTTTTTGCGTGTGTTTTTTATCTAATGTGTCTAAGAATACTGTGTGTTCTCTTCCTTTATTCAGAGTTGGTTTAACCTTTTCAAACTTCAATGTACAAATCAACAATTCTTTCCAAATGTTTGCTGCCTCTGATTGTATAAGACGTCAGAAACAGCTTGCTCATTTGATTATGAATATGTTGCTTTTTTGTTGTTGTTTTTCTTTGCCTAAAACAGTAACATACCATATTCTAAATGACATTTTGACTCTTGAGTTTTATACCTTAGATTGGGTTGTTCGTAGTATGATGGCCTATTTTTTGGCATAGAAGAAGTAACAACCTGAGCATTGGCTGTCCTTTGAGTGACTTGAAACCAAATTATGAATTACTTGTTAGTAAGGTATTTGCCTGGAAAACATCCTTTGTCAGACAGCTCCTAGATTATCAAGGCTACATTTAGGTAGCTTGAATAGATCTGTTCACCTCAGCTACCATTGAAGTAGCTTTGGACTCCCATTTTTGAAGTCGGTCACATCAGTGCTGTTAATGGGAGGCAAACGAGGGCAGGAAATCCTACCATTGAGACGTGTCTCAATGCATTACACACACTGGTCAAACAGACTATCATCGAGCCGGCTTTACCATGATCCTCTGCTGCATGCGTTCCTTAGACCCATGATTTGCATGTACCCCTTTTTGTTGTTTTGTTTTATGACTCTTACAATCTTTCGTGTGGTTGTTTTGTTTTTCATGCCCATCTTTTGTTTTATTTGTTTGTTCCCTGTCTTTGGTTGGATGCATTTCCTGTGTGTGTGTGTGTTGTCACTTCCTGTCCAGTGCTGGAGTTTGAACTACGGAAAGCAAAGGAGACCATTCAGGCTCTGCGCGCCAACTTGACTCAGGCAGCAGGTGTGGCGTACTTTTAACTTCTTCTCCACCTGAACCCTCTTTTGTTACAGCTTTCACTCTTTTTATTTCTAAGAGAATTCCACTAGATGAATAACACTCAGCATCCTTTCAAACTCATCTAAAATCTTCTCAATTTCTCAGAGAGCGAAGGTCCCTCTCACGAGAGAAAAAACTTCAAGTCAAGTCCTGAAATTCAGGTGGGAGATTTTTAAGTGTTAAAAGATTTGAGAATTCCTTTCCTTTTTCAAATGACTCAGAAGATGAAATGTGTTCCTTTAAACCCTGTGATGATGTTACTGCTAGACTTTGAGTGAGTCATTTCACAGCTTCTCTTTCCTCTCTACCTCAGGAGCCTATACGCCCACTGGAGAAAAGAGCCTTAAACTTCCTTGTAAATGAATATTTATTAAAAAATGAACACAAACTCTCATCCATCACCTTCTCCGATGAAAATGATGATCAGGTAAAGATTTTTCTGGCTGAATGACAAATATCTGAATGGAATAAAAAATTTGTAGTCATTTATTTCTGACTGCTTCTTAATACAAAGTGTATGATTCCTATTTGAAATAGGAGGTATCAGACTTGTGAGCCTCAGGGCACTGGTCTAAGAGCTGTGGTAGGGTCATGTGACCATAAATAAATTCAACAACTGGGATCAGCTGTCCTGTTCTGAGCCTGCATGAATTCCTGCTTTGTCTATGCAGAGGACACACACACCCGTCCGCCACAAATAGTTTATTCATTTGGTTTTTTTAAATGTATTTGCAGGACTTTGAGTTGTGGGATGATGTCGGCCTCAACATCCCCAAACCCCCCGACCTGTTACATCTCTACAGGAACTGTGGTACCCCTCTCCCTTCTCCCCGGGACATGGCTGATGTGTCAGTAGGGGTGGATTTTGCCGATCTTCCAGGAAAATGCATTGCCCAAGATCCCCCAAAAAAGCTTGACCTCTCACATCAGGTTGGTGTGTATGTACATGTATGGGTTTTATTCAGGGATATACAGTTCTTCATGAGCTGAACTGTCCATCCATCCATCAATGTTGGATTTTTTGGCAATCAGTCAGGTGTTTTCCTTTTGGCTGCATCAAGAGCTTTGCGATCACAAAATTGTTGCTATTCCAAAGCAGAGATGGGCACTCCATTATCATGGACACGCAGCCCTTTGTGCTCTCTTTCTTAAACTGAAAATGTGCATTTACACACTCGTTGAGAGGCAGTGGCAGTCTCCACCGAAGGTCAATTGCTTTGACTCGTTACAGCAACGAACTGGAGGCGGTCCACTGAGCTTGAATGATGAAAAACTTAATGGCCCCTTCTACATTCACATTGTTTCAGTAAAAGGCTGTGGAACTAATTGAAAAGTTATTTCAATAAAGTCTGAGATATTACCAATTAATGAATATTTTTGACTTATTGGAGAACACACTCTTCAGCTGGTGTAATAAAGTGTCTAAAATCTTCTTGTCCCTCTATAGCAGCAGACAGAAGTTGTCCAAGAGTTGGAATACCAGATAAGCCTCCTCAGCAATGAGAAGCAGAGCCTCGCTGAGCAGATCAAGAAACTGCAGAGGTGAGTGCCCGAGTGCATGTGTGTGCTAATAATGTGCTTATATAAAAGTGAATCAGTCAGAATGTAAAAATGGCTAAGACACTGCCGAGAGTTGTGCTATATGTCTTATTATGTTCACTGTTAGTATGCTATGGTGCTGCTGACACAGTTTCACCTATTCATAACAATCGTATGCCATTACAAGAGAACCATTTACCAATACCACTAGAGAAAGAAATAAATAGAAGCATCCATGAAAATCTGCATATGTATTCAGCACTTCAGTACACATTATTACCATAACTGTGACCAAAACCGGCCGTGAGGTAGAACCCGTATGGACATTTCCCCGAAGCGCTGCACTGAATTACAGAGGAAACTCTGTTCTGATACAGTAGTGGAGTCTATTTTCATTCCATGTGGAATAATTAAGATTCAGAAAGATTTGCTTTACCACCATCCGAAATTGTTGAGGCATTTTACACAAGTGCTCTACCACTACTTTTGGATGGAAGACTTGCAGTATGTCTTTTTGACTCACTTCTTCACTAATAAGAGTCATGTTCGTTCATCTAACCCCCACAGTGAGATTCAGACACTGAAGAGGACCGTCTCCTCCCCACCTCTGGCTACTCTGGACCTGGGCTTCCAGAAGACATCTAACCCCTCCCCCTCATCCACCACCACCAACACTTCCTACACTGACCCTCTCTCTGTGGTATGTGGTTCATTTGAATATGTAATGCACAGACTTGTGTTAATAGTACCAGTGTCCTGGAATAAAAGAAGTGATATTTTCTTTTTTTTCTTGATGTAGTCTGACAGAGGCCCGGACATTTGACCCATTATTTCCAACTTAATCTCGTTTTACCCTCAGCCTCCTACAGATAACGGCCAGTATATGGACATCCGGGGGGTTTCAGAGTCTGAAACTAACCCGGACCCCTCCTCTACTCAGACCATTTCACAGCCTCGCCCACATTCCCTTCATGCGCTTAAGAGTCGGCCTCCTGTCCAGTTTGCTCAATCTAACAGGTGAGTCCTGAAAATTCTGTATATACTTCTTTTGTAGACAGATATAATAGACACAATACAAACTTGCAATTCTTGTGTGTTTGTCGGTGTTGCTTGATACACGGTACAAATGATGAGTTACCTTTCAGATTTTTCAGGTGGTACTTGAAAATAGACTGAAAATAATATTCAGTATACTCGGTACCTCTCAGTGTAGTTACTAGATGTAAGCACTAGATGGAGGTAGTTATCAGCTTATGCCGCCACAATGGACAATTCCAACAGCACTTACTGGCGGTTGGCTGCCCTCTTGAGTGAAAATGTAACTTAATAAATTTTCTCAGAGCACAAAGCAGCCCTGGTGGGAATTTGACTTTTGGTCACATGCAAACATGTCTTACCACTCTGCCACCCATGCTGTAGTATATTTAGTGCACCGACATCTAGTGAATCATCCGGTGAATGGAGTACTGTGTTGTCTATATACCTTCATATTCTCTTATATTTCCCTTTTTACCAGATTCATACAGTTCCAAAAATTGAGCGGCAAAATACAGTTGGCCGTCATCTGCTATTGAACAGGTCACTGTGCTACTGTAACAAGTCAATAGCTAAGAACGCCTTTATGTTTAAAGCTCCCTCTGATTGGAATAATCTACCTGTGAATATTCGATCCATAGCATCTTTCCACCGGTTCAAATGCGCTGTCTTCTTATTATAGGATCAGTTGAGCATATCCATAATGACATCTCTATAATTATGTCTTATGGCTTCATTACATAATGCTATCACTGACAGTAATGCTTTTCTTTAACCTTTGAAAGAATTATCCATTTTGCTAATTTAGTTTTTTGTTAAATGTTTTGTCTAATTGTGCTTGTATTGTATAAATTTCATTGAGGACCCCCTTGAAAACGAGATGGTACATCTCAAGGGGTTATTCCTAATAACGAATGTCTTGTAGCCAAACTCCATCTATCTATAGATTTGTTTTATATACCACTAAAATACACTGCAGTGACATGGGAGAGTGGCTCCACTGAGCTCTCTGGCAGGATGGCCCAGTCCTCAATCATTCCGCGGTCAGGCCAAACTCCATAGCTCTCGTGGAGTACAGATCGAGTGGTGCAGACTGTACTGACTGTTTTTTTGCTCTTTTTGTTTGTGGTGTCGCAGAAAGTTATCCCCGGCCTTCCTGCAAGCCCTGCTGTCCTTCTGCAGAATGTGCTCCGACAGCCGCCTGGGAGCAGAGGTCAGGACATTGTCATGCAGAAGAGTACTTTTATGACCACGTACAGTACAGTACATAACGCCCCTCTCATTTCCAGGTGTCTCGTATAGCAGAGAGTGAGGAGAGTGTGATGTTAATGCTGGGCCGCTGCCTCCCTCACATCGTCCCCAATGTCCTTCTTGCTAAACGAGAGGTAACCCCACTTCTGCCGCTGCTCCTCTTCTCCTCCTCCTCCCCCTTGATTGTTGTCGTCATCACAGGCTTCTGCACAATCCAATAGATCCACACACAGCAGCAGGGCTAAGCAAGGTGAAAATGTAGGGGAAGCTGTAGAGAGGACAGTCATCTTCAGCTTGTAAACATTCCCATCCAAACTATGTCTTCGTAGATGGGCAGTAAATCAATTCTTAACTTTCATCATGTTTATCCCCTTCAGTTAAGGGAGTTATTTTTCTGCTGGTGAGTCACCCATTTTACCATCTGCTATTGTGAGAAAAATGTAGTTCAGTTTGCTCTGAAAGAACACCACCCTCTCCTTGGTTTGTGCCACAAGGCATTCCCAAAATCCAACGAACATCCGATGTAGTGTTTCACACCATGAAGAGGCTTCCAGTGTTCTTGGCAGTGGTCTAGAAAGCTTGATTGCTGGTTTCTTTACGATGGTCATAATGAAGTATCACATCTTATGTGCTAATGCTACACTTAGCATCTTTCTCCTTGTTGACCCCCCCCCCCCCCCCGGATGTGACTGTGTCTTCTGCCAGCTGTATGAATAAAGAGCTCATTCAGACATTTGCAGTGCCAATCATAGATTTCATAACCTGCAAATACCCAGCTGACTTGTGTCTATCTATTGATTGGGAATTTCACCTTCCTTTATGATGGCATTTGTTTCCACCAGTGTCATCATTTCCCTTCTGCTGTATTTGTCCCCCACTCATGTTTGCTGTCCTTCTTGCCTTCACTGGTGTTATTTTTACTCTTCTCTTTTCGTCTCACTCATTCTCTCACTCTCATGCATGCCTCTCCTCTAGAGAATGGTTGCACATCTTTGCCAGGTGAGTCTTTCACGCATTCATCTGCATGGTTGTCACATGACCTGTAGACCTAAAACATGTAACTTATGCCCTGCTCCTGTTGGCTACAACTGCTGCCACATTAGGGTCGAGCCTGCCATAATTATTCAAATTTTATTCATAAGCACTGTAGCGCTGGCATTTCTGTAGAGTGACTGTCGTTATGCAGTCTTGCATTGTCTTAACACGAAATATGAAATTTATACCCAAAATGTGAACTGATATGCAAAGGTATGCAGTTTCAGCCAAACAGTGAGTGGGTCATGTACTGTATGTCTCTTAACCCCAGTGTGTCTTTACTTCTTCTCTTATTGGTTCCCTGATTTATCTGCTGTGGCGTTTGAGACTCTAGAGTGATTTTAATTAATCTTGTATCATCACCTCGCACCTTTTTAAAAGTAGCTTAATGCTATATATTCTAATGGCTAAATAAAACCAGAGAAGACCGTTTGTTTTTTTTGGTCCTTGCTATGAAGTGTCCAGGGCTTCCAGGTAACTAAATGTAAGCGATTTTAAAATGGATTAGGCATTTGCTAAGCGATTACTCCCTCCAAGCTGTGATGCAGACACCTGCACAGGTGTTCCGCCCAAACAGAACTGCTTGCATGCAATTTGTGTCTGTGTGTGTGTGTGTGTGTGTGTTTTTCCACGTGTGTACAAATACTATGTGCTTGAATTTTGCACACAGTGTATTGAAACTTGGTAAGACACAAAATGCAGTGTTTTGAAAGAGGTGAGTCTGGTTGGAGTAGTTCCCAGTCGGGCTGCTTTGCATATCACAATGGTTATGTTGCTTTAGTCAAACTCTGACAGTTAAGAAGAACTTAATCTCTTTGCAAAATCAGGATAAACAAACTGGGGTTGAGCATGACAAAGATTAACACACAGAACATTCAAGCCTCTGGGTCTGAGTGGTGTGGACTTTGTTCTATATCCGTTAGATTCACCGACCGTGACATTGAGTACACACACACACAGCTGCTCACACTTCCATCTTGTAACTTGAGGCTTTCTTACCACCACAAGCCTGGAGAGAAGGCACACCTTTAGTTGTCTGAACGTGACACCCACTTAAGAACAAAGGGTGTTTGACTTGAAATGGTGGAATGATGCATTAAAACCCTGCCTGCCACCTGGCTGTAATATCAGTCACTGTAAATCATTAAACATTATGTTTTTCTAGCACACTGCAATGCGCTTGTATTTTCCTTTCGTTACGGTGGAAAAGGCTTGATTTGGGGTAATTTGTTACAGCATTTTTTTTTTCTTATCCAATTGAATATACAGTAAAAGATGTGTCTAGTGGTATCACTATGAAGATACTAACTGTATCCTGTAAGGGGTGACTTCCTTTTTCTACGGGCCAGATTAACTGTGATGTTTAACGAATTACTGGAGAGACGAGGAACATTGACCGTTTTATCAGGGCTGTTACGAGAATAAAGATTAGGAGTGAAGTTATAACTCGGATGACAGACCTTGTTTACATTGTGCTGTGTGTTTGTACTCAAGCTATGGCTTGTGTGATAATGCAGTAGAAAGTCAGAATGGATTAAAAAAAAAAGAAAACCAACTGAAAAGAAAAGGCACCTGGAGGACAGAAGGCTATGCAGGAGGCTACAAATAAAATAATAACGGCCACAACCTGCAAAAACATCAGCCATGCCTCATTTGCATACAATAGTGCATCAACAATCACTCACGACTGCAGTTTGATTTTGTGACTGTTGCGGCACCAAATACAAGTCATGTAATCGGCATAAGCCCATCGTGAAGCATGCATATACAGTACACAAATTGTGCCACCATAAGGTACAGGCCGTCTTGCTTCTGGCTTTACCGCTTCACAAAATTGAGCATGATTTTTTTTTTTTCTCCCTGTGAGGTATTATTATTTTGTTTTGTCGAGTCGCTTGAGCCCTTTTACATAAACCTGTGCATTAAAACAGCAGTGATTGTACGGCATAGTGACACTGCATGTGTATGGACAAAGAGATGGTTATCACTGTATCTGGAAATCTGTGTTTTTATTTTCTATTGATATTAATTTCAGGTCTTTATTTGATTATTGTAATGTGAGACAGTTGCAAAGAAATGACATTTTAAAAAGATTTGATAAGATTTAGAATGTGGAAAGTGCAACATTTGGATGCGGCACATAGTGGTCCTTGGACTGAAATGTGCAGTTGCTCTGCTTTTTGGAGTGAAGCATCAGGCCCCCCTGGCCTCAAAGGTCCTGGCGTCGTGCTGTCCACTCTACCTGCCCACAATGTTTATCCAGGACTGGTCAGATGTTTAACCTCCTGAAGGAGTCTTCACATCAGTAACACAGGAGTTCACTCAGAAATAGAACAGGAGCAGCATGGGTTCTGGCCTTTTCAGATGTGTGCTGAATTCCTGTATTTGTTTTATCAGGCCAGTGCTGTTAAGTCTTCAAAAATGTCTCTTGTAAAGATGTATGGTAATTTCAGAGGCCAGAGTATTAAATAGAGTTCATTTGCTGGTTTTTGACGCTTGAACTGATTTCACCCATATTTAACTCGTCATGTAACCACTTAAAATGACCCTCTGATACTTAAATGTCATATTTTTACTTTATAAAAGATAGCCAACATGGCACGGACTTCCGAGGGCTGGTCCACTATTTAGTGAGTGACTCATCGCAGCCTGTCTTTAAAAGTGTCTCTTGTCAGGTCCACATGCCGGTCCAGCATTGGGGTTGTACTCGTTCTTCCAGCACTTGGCAGGGAACTATAATATCTTCTTGGGGGGAAAAAAAAGAAAGTTTGTTTGAAAAAAAAACTAAAAACATATTTTTAACTCTGTGTGCACTCTCTAATTTGGGTGTGTGTGGCTGGAATGGCGGGCTGACCACAGTTTGGCCATGGAGGCCCTGTATCAAGGGCAGCTGAGCTCTCTCCCCTCTGGCAGGAAGGTCCATAAACTCTATCTGAACTCTGTCATAGAACCGTGTTCTAGCAGAGGAACTCGTGCAATATGTATAGACCTTTTCATTACCATTCGGTTTCTAGGCTACGGCTTTGGTCTAAGATGACTTCCTGTCAGCTACTGCATTAACAAACATTTAACTAGTTTGAAAAGGTCTATATGTGTGTCTGTCTAAATGCAGCTGTGTCTGGGTGTGTGCATGCACTATTTAAGTTTCTCTCATTGTATGTACGTGACTCCAAAGCCTAAATGAGTCAAGGTATGACACCAACAAGGTCTTGAAGGTAAGCATGTTTCCACTGGTGTTGACGGACTCCTGTTGGTTCCCTGTGTTTCTCCCTGTGACTTTGCCCTATTCTCTCCTCTTTTTTGAGACACACCTTCTTACCCTTTCCTACTGCCCGTCCTCCATAGACTTCCAGGCCTGCTTGACTGCTGCCGACAATCTCTTCCCTTTGTGTTTCAACCGCGCCCTCCTATTGTAAAGTAATCTAAACTGATGCTACTTCTCTCTCTCTGTGTCTTTCTCATCACTTCTCCTTCAGGAGTTGATCCCGCTCATCTTATGTACCGCCTGCCTTCACCCGGAGTCTAGAGAGAGGGACCAGCTCCTCCACATCCTCTTCAACCTAATCAAGAGACCAGATGATGAGCAGAGGTGTGTACGTTTGTGTTTTGTAGACACATCAATATTTAGTTTATTATGGCCGATGATCGACCTCTTACCAAGATACCATTGATTAGCCCCATTGGTGAGACACTAAATGACTGTATCCTGTTGTTGTGTTTCCAAAGACAAATGATCTTGACGGGGTGTGTTGCGTTTGCGAGGCATGTGGGTCCCACACGTGTCGAGGCTGAACTACTTCCTCAGTGCTGGGAACAGGTACAGGGCAGACACTGCATGTGGTCTTTGTTATTGAATATGCTGTCACTGATTTTCTGCAATGGTGAAGCAAGAAGCGCTTCAAGTTCACTTGCTCCAAAATGAACACCAGTACTTGCTCAACCTCTGAGTTTTTTTTTTAAATGTTTTTTTATTGTCACTTGTGACACTTAAAAGTTACACTTCATGAGGGATGTTCCTCTGTTCTATTATTAGTTTCTCAGTTGTGTCTTGTATTTAGTGAGCATACCATTCAATGTAGTTGTATTTGCATGTTCTGACTCAGAACATCCCTATTATTGTCCATTGTCCCTGACTTATATGTGATAGCAGTCTTGTTTTCATTGCCACCTGTGTCACCTAATGCAACACATTTATGGGAACAGCTACCAGATGTTTGGAGGCTGAGAATTTGCCCAGAGAGACCAATAGCGGTTTCCACAGGGTCAGCATGTTGATGATATTCAAGTTGTTTCCATTCCAGCGTGGCTGCCCTCCAGTCTACTTCTCTCCTCTTTTCAACTTCTGTTCCTGTGTTTCTTTTCAAATGTTTTCCTCTAAATCTTGCTCTCTTCTTCTGCAGATTAACCACAAATATCCAGAGAGGAGATTGTTGGTGGCAGAGTCCTGTGGAGCCTTAGCACCATACCTGCCTGTAAGAAAATATTGTGCACACAGGATTTGTGTGTGTGTGTGTGTGTGTGTGTGTGTGTGTGTGTGTGTGTGTGT